TTGGTCTTTTACAGCCAGTGTGTATTGATCTTCTACAGCCAGTGTGTATTGGTCTTTTACAGCCAGTGTGTATTGGTCTTTTACAGCCAGTGTGTATTGATCTTCTACAGCCAATGTGTATTGGTCGTCTACAGCCAGGGCATATTGGTCTTTTACAGCGAGGGCATATTGGTCTTTTACAGCCAGTGTGTACAGCCAGTGTGTATTGGTCTTCTACAGCCAGTGTGTATTTGTCTTTTACAGCCAGTGTGTATTGGTCTTCTACAGCCAGTGTGTATTGGTCTTCTACAGCCAGGGTGTACTGGTATTCTACAGCCAGTGTGTATTGGACTTCTACAGCCAGTGTGTATTGGTTTTTTATGGCCAGTGTGTATTGGTCTTCTACAGCCAGTGTGTATTGGTCTTTTACAGCCGGTGTGTATTGGTCTTTTACAGCCAGTGTGTAGTTGTCTTCTACAGCCAGTGTGTATTGGTCTTTTACAGCCAGTGTGTATTGGTCTTTTACAGCCAGTGTGTATTTGTCTTTTACAGCCAGTGTGTATTGGTCTTCTACAGCCAGTGTGTATTGGTCTTTTACAGCCGGTGTGTATTGGTCTTCTACAGCCAATGTGTATTGGTCTTTTACAGCCAGTGTGTAGTTGTCTTCTACAGCCAGTGTGTATTGGTCTTTTACAGCCAGTGTGTATTGGTCTTTTACAGCCAGTGTGTATTTGTCTTTTACAGCCAGTGTGTATTGATCTTCTACAGCCAGTGTGTATTGGTCTTCTACAGCCAGTGTGTATTGGTCTTCTCCAGCCAGTATATATTGGTCTTTTACAGCCGGCATGTATTGGTCTTTTACAGCCAATGTATATTGGTCTTCTACAGCTGGTGTGTATTGGTCTTTTACAGCCAATGTATATTGGTCTTCTACAGCTGGTGTGTATTGGTCTTTTACAGCCAGTGTGTATTGATCTTCTACAGCCAATGTGTATTGGTCTTTCACGGCGAGGGCATATTGGTCTTTTACAGCCAGTGTGTATAGATCTTTTACAGCCAGTGTGTATTGGTCTTTTACAGCCAGTGTGTATTGGTCTTCTACAGCCAGTGTTTATTGGTCTTCTACAGCCAGTGTGTATTGGTCTTCTACAGCCAGTGTGTATTGGTCTTCTACAGCCAGTGTGTATTGGTCTTTTACAGCCAGTGTGTATTGGTCTTCTACAGCCAGTGTGTATTGGTCTTCTACAGCCAGTGTGTATTGGTCTTCTACAGCCAATGTGTATTGGTCTTTTACAGCCAGGGCATATTGGTCTTTTACAGCCAGTGTGTATTGATCTTTTACAGCCAGTGTGTATTGGTCTTCTACAGCCAGTGTGTATTCATCTTCTACAGCCAATGTGTATTGGTCTTTTACAGCCAGGGCATATTGGTCTTTTACAGCCAGTGTGTATTGATCTTTTACAGCCAGTGTGTATTGATCTTCTACAGCCAGTGTGTATTCATCTTCTACAGCCAATGTGTATTGGTCTTTTACAGCCAGGGCATATTGGTCTTTTACAGCCAGTGTGTATTGATCTTTTACAGCCAGTGTGTATTGGTCTTTTACAGCCAGTGTGTATTGGTCTTCTACAGCCAATGTGTATTGGTCTTTTACAGCCAGTGTGTATTGGTCTTTTACAGCCAGTGTGTATTGATCTTTTACAGCCAGTGTGTACTGGTATTTTACAGCCAGTGTGTATTGATCTTCTACAGCCAATGTGTATTGGTCTTTTACAGCCAGGGCATATTGGTCTTTTACAGCCAGTGTGTATTGATCTTTTACAGCCAGTGTGTATTGATCTTCTACAGCCAGTGTGTATTCATCTTCTACAGCCAATGTGTATTGGTCTTTTACAGCCAGGGCATATTGGTCTTTTACAGCCAGTTTGTATTGATCTTTTACAGCCAGTGTGTATTGGTCTTTTACAGCCAGTGTGTATTGGTCTTCTACAGCCAATGTGTATTGGTCTTTTACAGCCAGTGTGTATTGGTCTTCTACAGCCAGTATGTATTGGTCTTTTACAGCCAGTGTGTATTGATCTTCTACAGCCAGTGTGTATTGGTCTTCTACAGCCAGTGTGTATTGGTCGTCTACAGCCAGTGTGTATTGGTCTTCTACAGCCAGTGTGTATTGGTCTTTTACAGCTAGTGTGAATTGATCTTCTACAGCCAGTGTGTATTGGTCTTTTACAGCCAGTTTGTATTGGTCTTTTACAGCCAGTGTGTACTGGTCTTTTACAGCCAATGTGTATTGATCTTCTACAGCCAGTGTGTATTGATCTTTTACAGCCAGTGTGTATTGGTCTTTTACAGCCAGGGCATATTGGTCTTTTACGGCGAGGACATATTGGTCTTTTACAGCGAGTGTGTATTGGTGTTTTACAGCCAGTGTGTATTGGTCTTTTACAGCCAGTGTGTATTGGTCTTCTACAGCCAATGTGTATTGGTCTTCTACAGCCAGTGTGTATTGGTCTTTTACAGCCAGTGTGTATTGGTCTTCTGCAGCCAGGGCATATTGGTCTTTTACAGCCAGTGTGTACTGGTCTTCTACAGCCAATGTGTATTGGTCTTTTACAGCCAGGGCATATTGGTCTTGTACAGCCAGTGTGTATTGGTCTTTTACAGCCAGTGTGTATTGGTCTTCTACAGCCAGTGTGTATTGGTCTTCTACAGCCAGTGTGTATTGGTCTTTTACAGCCAGTGTGTATTGGTCTTCTGCAGCCAGGGCATATTGGTCTTTTACAGCCAGTGTGTATTGGTCTTTTACAGCCAGTGTGTACTGGTCTTCTACAGCAAATGTGTATTGGTCTTTTACAGCCAGGGCATATTGGTCTTGTACAGCCAGTGTGTATTGGTCTTTTACAGCCAGTGTGTATTGGTCTTCTACAGCCAGTGTGTATTGGTCTTTTACAGCCAGTGTGTATTGGTCTTTTACAGCCAGTGTGTATTGGTCTTTTACAGCCAGTGTGTACTGGTCTTCTACAGCCAATGTGTATTGGTCTTTTACAGCCAGGGCATATTGGTCTTGTACAGCCAGTGTGTATTGGTCTTTTACAGCCAGTGTGTATTGGTCTTTTACAGCCAGGGCATATTGGTCTTTTACAGCCAGTGTGTATTGGTCTTTTACAGCCAGTGTGTACTGGTCTTCTACAGCCAATGTGTATTGGTCTTTTACAGCCAGGGCATATTGGTCTTGTACAGCCAGTGTGTATTGGTCTTTTACAGCCAGTGTGTATTGGTCTTCTACAGCCAGTGTGTATTGGTCTTCTACAGCCAGTGTGTATTGGTCTTTTACAGCCACTGTGTATTGGTCTTCTACAGCCAGTGTGTATTGGTCTTCTACAGCCAGTGTGTATTGATCTTTTACAGCCAGGGCATATTGGTCTTTTACAGCCAGTGTGTATTGGTCTTTTACAGCCAGTGTGTATTGGTCTTTTACAGCCAGTGTGTACTGGTCTTCTACAGCCAATGTGTATTGGTCTTTTACAGCCAGGGCATATTGGTCTTTTACAGCCAGTGTGTATTGGTCTTTTACAGCCAGTGTGTATTGGTCTTCTACAGCCAGTGTGTATTGGTCTTTTACAGCCAGTGTGTATTGGTCTTTTACAGCCAGTGTGTATTGATCTTCTACAGCCAGTGTGTATTGGTCTTTTACAGCCAGTGTGTATTGGTCTTTTACAGCCAGTGTGTATTGATCTTCTACAGCCAATGTGTATTGGTCGTCTACAGCCAGGGCATATTGGTCTTTTACAGCGAGGGCATATTGGTCTTTTACAGCCAGTGTGTACAGCCAGTGTGTATTGGTCTTCTACAGCCAGTGTGTATTTGTCTTTTACAGCCAGTGTGTATTGGTCTTCTACAGCCAGTGTGTATTGGTCTTCTACAGCCAGGGTGTACTGGTATTCTACAGCCAGTGTGTATTGGACTTCTACAGCCAGTGTGTATTGGTTTTTTATGGCCAGTGTGTATTGGTCTTCTACAGCCAGTGTGTATTGGTCTTTTACAGCCGGTGTGTATTGGTCTTTTACAGCCAGTGTGTAGTTGTCTTCTACAGCCAGTGTGTATTGGTCTTTTACAGCCAGTGTGTATTGGTCTTTTACAGCCAGTGTGTATTTGTCTTTTACAGCCAGTGTGTATTGGTCTTCTACAGCCAGTGTGTATTGGTCTTTTACAGCCGGTGTGTATTGGTCTTCTACAGCCAATGTGTATTGGTCTTTTACAGCCAGTGTGTAGTTGTCTTCTACAGCCAGTGTGTATTGGTCTTTTACAGCCAGTGTGTATTGGTCTTTTACAGCCAGTGTGTATTTGTCTTTTACAGCCAGTGTGTATTGATCTTCTACAGCCAGTGTGTATTGGTCTTCTACAGCCAGTGTGTATTGGTCTTCTCCAGCCAGTATATATTGGTCTTTTACAGCCGGCATGTATTGGTCTTTTACAGCCAATGTATATTGGTCTTCTACAGCTGGTGTGTATTGGTCTTTTACAGCCAATGTATATTGGTCTTCTACAGCTGGTGTGTATTGGTCTTTTACAGCCAGTGTGTATTGATCTTCTACAGCCAATGTGTATTGGTCTTTCACGGCGAGGGCATATTGGTCTTTTACAGCCAGTGTGTATAGATCTTTTACAGCCAGTGTGTATTGGTCTTTTACAGCCAGTGTGTATTGGTCTTCTACAGCCAGTGTTTATTGGTCTTCTACAGCCAGTGTGTATTGGTCTTCTACAGCCAGTGTGTATTGGTCTTCTACAGCCAGTGTGTATTGGTCTTTTACAGCCAGTGTGTATTGGTCTTCTACAGCCAGTGTGTATTGGTCTTCTACAGCCAGTGTGTATTGGTCTTCTACAGCCAGTGTGTATTGATCTTTTATAGTTATTTATAGTTTATTGTTTAGTTAATTCTAATTAATGAACTGAACTGCAGGTGTCTCAACTGCCCAGGTACACCTGCTCTCCTCATTTTCATATCTATCTTTTTTCCACAGGGCAATGAGGCACCCGTGGGCGGGGAGAAGGCAGAGTCAACGCGCTACAGCCGTTCTTATACATCCGGGAGCACGCTGGGGGTGGAGTTTCGGAGGGGGCGGAGCCGGAGACTCTCCTCCAGCTTGCAGGTAAACATGGTTCTGACCAGAAACAGGATGGAGAAAGTACACCTGAGCAGCATTTTTATGCCTATAGCTAAACACATGCTAATAGTGTGGTGCTGTATGTAACTTCCTACAGGTACCGTGTTGGCTCCGCCCACGTTCACGCTCACCGGAAGTATTGAGTATCATGCCACGCCCCACAACCCTTCCACTACGCATCCCACCACGGATTGCTATCACACACGCTGACACAGACAGGTAAACACGCGCTACCATACATGTGCTAATACTCATGTAACGTAATACATACATGCTCCCACACATGCTAGTTCACACGCTAATACACACATGCTCACGGATCCTAACACGTACATTAACCTCCCTGCACATACACGTGTGAACAAGCATGCTCACACATGGTCACAGACACCTGTTAAAGCACCTGCTATCACATGCTAATACATTAATGTTAATACATGGTATCTCACACGGCAGCCAGTGTGTATTTATTAGACACTATCAAAACATATCAAAGCACATGCTAAAACACCTGTTAGTGCACGTTAATACACACCTGCTAACCACACATGCTAATTTAAACATGCAAATGTGTCTCTGTCTCTCTCTGTTCTCTGTTCTCTCTCTCTCTCTCTCTCTCTGTTTTCTCTCTGGTCTCTCTCTCTCTCTCTCTCTCTCTCTCTCTCTCTCTCTCTCTCTCTCTGTTTTCTCTCTGGTCTTTCTCTCTCTCTCTGTTCTCTCTGTTCTCTCTCTCTCTCTCTCTGTTTTCTCTCTGTTCTCTCTCTGTTTTCTCTCTGTTCTCTCTCTCTCTCTCTCTGTTCTCTCTTTCTGTTTTCTCTCTGTTCTCTTTCTCTCTCTCTCTGTTCTCTCTCTCTCTGTTTTCTCTCTGTTCTCTCTCTCTCTGTTTTCTTTCTGTTCTCTATCTCTCTCTCTCTTTCCCTCTCTCTCTCTGTCTCTTTCTCTGTTCTCTCTCTCTCTCTCTCTCTCTCTCTCTCTCTCTCTGTTCTGTCTCTCTCTCCCTCTGTTCTCTGTTCTCTCTCTCTGTTCTGTCTCTCTCTCTCTCTGTTCTTTCTCTCTGTTCTCTCTCTCTCTCTCTCTGTTCTCTCTCTCTTTTTTCTCTCTGTTCTCTCTCGCTCTGTTTTCTTTCTGTTCTCTCTCTCTCTCTTTCCCTCTCTCTCTCTCTGTTTTCTCTCTGTTCTCTTTCTCTCTCTGTTCTCTCTCCCTGTTCTCTCTCTCTCTGTTCTGTCTCTCTCTCTTTCTCTGTTCTCTCTCTCTCTCTCTCTCTCTCTCTCTCTGTGTTCTCTGTTCTCTCTCTCTCTTTCTCTCTTCTCTCTCTCTGTTCTGTCTCTCTCTCTCTCTGTTCTCTGTTCTCTTTCTCTTTCTGTTCTCTCTCCCTCTGTTCTCTCTCTCCCTCTGTTCTCTTTCTCTCTCTCTCTCTCTCCCCCTCTCTCTCTCTCTTTCTCTCTTTCTCTCTCTCTTTCTCTCTCTCTCTCTCTCTGTTCTCTCTCTCTCTCGCTCTGCAGTGAGGTGGAGAATGGAGGTGTATCTCCAGCTGATCTCAGTCCAGGTCTGATGCTCCATCCCTCGTTCCCTCAGTCTCAGAGGAGAGAGAGTTTCCTCTATCGCTCCGACTCTGACTACGACCTGTCACCCAAAACCGTCTCACGCAACTCCTCAGTGGCCAGCGAAGGGTATGATAAGTCTTCTACATCCAGTATGCATTTATTAAACACTATCAAACACTGCCAGGTCTTCTACATCCAGTATGAATTTACTAAACACTATCAAACACTGCCAGGTCTTCTACATCCAGTATGAGTTTATTTGTTTCTTTGTTGAAAACACCTAAAATTTTGAATTGTTCCTCCTGTGTTTGTCAGACACACTGCTGAAGATTTCATCGTCACTCCTTTTGCTCAGGTGAGCTGAACAGAATTAAACTCATACTCTAATATTTATTTTCATCATTGCAGATAAAGGGATCATTACTTATAATATTTTTGAATGTATGGTGGTGCTCGGAAAAGTAAAATATTGTAGAGCTTACATAACTCTGCTACAACATTTCACTCCTGTTTGTGTAAAACTACGTTATTCTAATTGATTTTAGGGTTCATTTTGTGAAATATACAGAATGTATTTTTCTCAACAACAATTCAGATTCCCCACAAGGGAGCGCTATTAGCACTCAAGTAGTGTTTTTTGTGCAAAAGAGATGAAACCCACACCAGCAGGAACTCGTTTGCTATGTGAGTTTTAACTGAACCAGTTGATTTTAAAAAGGGATGCGCGCTAAAGACAATGTGAACAGCAGGGGGCGCCTTTGCGCCTCTGAATCCAGAGACATTTTTGGATGACTACTTTTTTCAGCAGGCCGATTGAAAAATCTTAAACTGTAGATGTCTCTACACACGACATTACAGCCCCAAACAGAACATTTTTTAGGCGTTTTTTTTTGTTTAAAAACATCTAGATAAAATATCATCACGTTTGTTTTACCTGATGGACTACAACTACCATAAACACTAGAACTGAACCTGCAGCGCGGTCCTGCAGGACCACACTGAGGAGATACTTTATGCATTGAGGAAATGTTTGATACTGCACTCATCATGAGTGATAACAGCTTACGAATTTCATAAGTGACTACAGTAACCCTGAGAACATCTCACTGGAGAAAGGTGCACCACACAGATATAAACTGTCTCCTGTATCTTTTCTTCACTTTTCTCTCTTATTCTTCTGCATCTTTCAGGTGTTGGCTAGTTTACGCTCTGTCAGAAGCAATTTCACAATCCTGGCTAATCTCAACACCCCCACTGTAAAGTTAGTATCTACAGTTAGTGCGCTGTCTCTTTTTCTCTTTTCTCTGTTTTTCTCACTCTTTTTTCGCTTTCTATGTAGTGAATGAATGTGTTATTCTCTGTTTGTCCACAGGAGATCTCCGCTGAGCAGCCAGTCTTCAGGGCTCAGGAGCTCACTCTCAGGTACACACTTTTAAATACACTCTTCAACTAATAAATCCACTAGTAGGCGCTGTTGGTGGCAGCGAAGTAGTAAGCTAATAAATCTACTAGTGGGCGCTGTTGGTGTCAGCGAAGTACTAGGCCAATAAATCCACTAGTGGGTGCTGTTGGTGTCAGCTAAGTAGTAGGCTGATAAAGCCACTAGTGGGCGCTGTTGGTGTCAGCGAAGTAGTAGGCTGATAAATCCACTAGTGGGCGCTGTTGGTGGCAGCGGAGTGATAGGCTAATAAATCCACTAGTGGGCGCTGTTGGTGTCAGCAAAGAAGTAGGCTGATAAAGCCACTAGTGGGCGCTGTTGGTGTCAGCGAAGTAGTAGGCTGATAAATCCACTAGTGGGCGCTGTTGGTGGCAGCGGAGTGATAGGCTAATAAATTCACTAGTGGGCGCTGTTGGTGTCAGCAAAGAAGTAGGCTAATAAATCCACTAGTGGGCGCTGTTGGTGGCAGCGGAGTAGTAGACTGACAAATCCACTAGTGGGCGCTGTTGGTGGCAGCGAAGTAATAGGCTAATAAATTCACTAGTGGGCGCTGTTGGTGGCAGCGAAGTAGTAGACTGACAAATCCACTAGTGGGCGCTGTTGGTGTCAGCAAAGAAGTAGGCTAATAAATCCACTAGTGGGTGCTGTTGGTGGCAGCGGAGTAGTAGGCTGATAAATTCACTAGTGGGCGCTGTTGGTGTCAGCAAAGAAGTAAGCTAATAAATTCACTAGTGGGCGCTGTTGGTGTCAGCAAAGAAGTAAGCTAATAAATTCACTAGTGGGCGCTGTTGGTGTCAGCAGAGTTTTTAATTTGCTTTTATTTTTATTTTTTAATGTGGTGATGAAGTAGGATCCACTCTGAATGTGTTGTAGATCACCAGTATCAGCAGTTGACCTTGGAGACTCTGGCGGAACTGGACTGGTGTTTGGATCAGTTAGAGACCATTCAGACACACCGCTCAGTCAGTGACATGGCATCAAGCAAGGTAATGTCTCAGTCAAGATGGTTATAAAATAATTTTTTTTATTCTATGTCGTTATAAAATCAACTCCTCTTGTACTTTGTTATAAAATATAATCTTTCATTATAGATAAATATAAAACAATATTCTTTTCTACTTCATTAGAAATTATTTACTATTATACATCAAAATAAAATAATCTTTTATTCTGTCTTTATAAAATGACTTTCTATTCTATGTCATTATAAAATCATCTATTCAACATCATTTTAAAATCATTTTCTATTTTATGTAGTTAAAAAATCACTTTCTATTCTAAAATGTAAAACTTTGTTTTTATTTTTTATTTCTCTGTGGAATCACAGCTCAGTGCTCTCTCTGTGTCTGTGTTCTTGTAGTTTAAGCGAATGTTGAACCGGGAGTTATCTCACCTGTCTGAAATGAGCCGCTCGGGAAACCAGGTCTCCGAATACATCTCCAGCACCTTTCTAGGTAAGGCTGTGATGAGCACATGCGAGTGACTGTAAAGCAGCTGAATTCACTAAATTAGAAGGACTGTCCAGATACTTTTGGATATACACCGATGAGCACAAACATTATGACTCATCAATGTGCGAGGGCCATGAAGGTGATCCGTCTACTCCGAACTGACGGAAGAGATGCTGTGGCACAATCACAGAAATGTTTAACCCACAGACTCGCCCGTGCGTCAAATTCTGTTTCTATATCTGTGTCTGTATCTTTGTGATGATCCAGCTCAGAAATCCAGTTCAGACACTTCCTGAATCTGTAGAGTCGCCCTTTCCATTCCATCTTATCACGAGATCATACGAGACTCACATCCGGAGTTATGAGCCTATGAAGAGGGGCTGAGATACACGTCATCTGCCTCTCACTGTGTGGAACTGGTGGATTGGTGTGTCCGTCTACATTCTGTGTGAAACTGACCAATGGACACTCAGGAAATCACTAAGGACTGACCATCACGCCGGAAACCCTTCATTCTTCATTCAGTCCACATCGGAGACTCATGTGAAACGGCGTGCAGAGAGTTTACAGCTGCTGAAGCTGCTGCAGCGGTTTTGGAAAGTAGTGATGAAGATAACGGAGCATTTTGATATGAAACATATGAGGATCATGATATAAGCAAGAACCTGCTCAACTCTCTCACCCTCACAGTTAAGCTGTTAGCCATCCGCAGATGCCTTGGGTTAAGTCTGTCAACCAATCACAGGCTGTGTTCATGACTCATCGACCAATCAGAGGCTGTGTTCCTGACTTGTCGGCCAATCAGAGGCTGTATTCCTGACTTGTTGACCAATCAGAGGCTGTGTTCCTGAAGTGTCGACTAATCAGAGGCTTTGTTTCTGACTTGTCGGCCAATCGGAGGCTGTATTCCTGACGTGTTGACCAGTCAGAGGCTGTGTTCCTGACTCATCAACCAATCAGAGGCTGTGTTCGTGACTTGTCGGCCAATCAGAGGCTGTGTTTCTGACTTGTCAATGGAACAACCCTACTCTTTTAGGCAAAATCAAAGGTCTGAAAGGTCAAAATGAAAATGATAGGTCTGAAGCAGCGTCCACAAAATATTTATTCTTTTATTATGACACCATCGACCTGAGAGGGTCAAAGCAGAACTTAAGAAGATATGCACAGACCGAGGAAATGCCCTCAGACCACAGAGGGTTAATGATGGTTATGGGAGGACTGTGTCACAACACACAGCATCTCACCCTGCTGCATATGGAGCTGTGCAGCTGCGGTCCGGTCAGAGTGCCCATGCTGACAGCTGTCCACCATCGAAAGCTGCTATAATGTGCAATCCCTACAGTGGGCATATGAGCATCAGAGCTGGAGTGATCAAAGTAGGTGGCCTAGTCTGATGAGTCCCATTTTCTTTTACTTAACGTGGATGAACGGGTACAGGTGCGGCGTTTACCTGGAGAAGTGATGCACTGTGGAAGGAGGATGAGTGGAGAGAGTGTAATGCTCTGGGAGACGTTCTGGTCTGCACATTCCAATGTGACACGTGGCACCTACCAAAACACCCCCGCAGACCAGGTACTCCCCCTCATGGTGACAGTGTTCCCTGATGACAGTGGCCTCTTTCAACACTGCACACGTTGCTCAGGAACTGTTTGATTAACATGACAAAGTGTTCAAGGTTTTACCCTTCAGATCTCAATCTGGTCTGGCGTCTGTGGGATCTGCAAGTCTGAACCGGGTTAAAAATTAGTGGTGTTAATTTATCCTGTTAGCATGTTAATGTTAGCGCTGACAACACCACTTAATACATATTAGTGATGTCAGAAGTATGTATTTATGCATCAAGAAGTTGGGTGCAAAATGCCTTACAGACCATTTCTAACAATTTTCATTTTTTCGTGATGTATGATGTTGGGAGCTTTACACATGCAAGAAATTTCAGTGCTACATTATTGTTAATATTTTATTATTATTAATTATCACTAATCATTAGAGAAAAACAAGTGCGTTTTCCTTTATATGTCTGTTGGTATTCTTTTCAAAAGCTGCTTATATTCACAACTGTTACAAACAGATATACAGCATTTTGTATTTTGTACTGAAAACCCTTCATATAAATGTGTGTGTGTGTGTTTTGTCTCCAGACCAGCAGAACGAGGTGGAGATTCCGTCTCCGACTCTGAAAGAGAAACCAATGAGCCACATTAGCGGAGTGCGAAAACTTTCTCACACCCACAGTCTGGCAAACACACCGCTACCGCGATTCGGAGTCACGACTGAACACGAGGACATGCTGGCAGAGGCAACACACACACACACACACACACACACACACACACATCTGTGTGAATTGTGTCAGACAGTCATTGATTTGTCATTAGCCTCTTTCTGCAGCGCCCCCTACTGGCCATTTAAATGGACATCAATTCTGACATTATCAGATGAACTAGAACTCTGTCATCTCTCTGTGTAAAATGTTTTTGAGTTGCTAATGAGCAGTGAGGGGAGAAAGGGGGGTGGTGAGACCCCCTGCTGTGAAAAACTATTCACACCTTCAAACCAAGTTCAGATGTTGTGATATAGAATATATTGTAAATATATTGTAAATGTATTGTGATACATTGAATGAGTATTGTGATAGTATTTAATGAGTATTGTGTTAGTACGGAGTGAGTATTGTGATACTACTAAATAGGGGTGCGGGAAAAAATCGATTCTTAGATGCATCGCGATGCGGATGAGACTGATTCTGAATCGATTCATAAATGTCAAAAATTGATTTTCTAAATATTTAATTTATAACGTAATGTTGACGGAACGCAAAAGGCGGAACTTGGAAGTGGGTAAGTGCAGCGCCCGGACAGTCTGTGGCGGCACATAACAAAAACACAACGGGATGAGCGAGAAATCCGACCGGCTCCTCTGCATTAAAGCCAGGTTAGATCAGGAGTCACAACACAAATGATCAGAAGAGCCATTTTGTTCTTTCAACAAAAATCAAACCAGCTTGGGAGCCACAACATTTAATGCCCTGTATGTCTCAGTGTGTGTTAATGTCCTAGTATAGACTAAACAATATAAACGAAAATGCGGATTTACTTCGCTCTGCTTTAAGCTTTAGCTGTAGCTGCTTTCCTTCCTTCTCCGCCTGAAAACTTTTCCTCAGAAGTAGATCAGTTAAATGTCTCTCAACGTTCGAGGCTGAGGTCACTTCTTATTCTCCAGCTTCTTGTTCGAATTTACCCGTTCCACCTTAAATTCTAACTGAGGCACCGACTGTAAATGCGGCACCATGTAAATGCGGAACGGGAGAATTCGAAAGAGAAGCAACTTCATCTTCGCCACTTTTTAGTGTTTGACAGTCTCTCGTTGCAGATTTAACGTACCAGGAAACCGACTGCGCTGCTTATAAATGTGAATAACACATCGCTGCTCTGTGACCTGCAGTCTGCACGCCGGTTCTCAGTCATTGCAAAACAGGGCTTTTGCGCTGTGCTGCACACGACCCGTCTCAAAGATACTTTACTGACACAGCGATCCCCCCCCGTCTCTACAACGAGACCAAAACCGAAGTTCTAGAATCACTAAGGAAAACAGGTAGAATAGCTGTAACGCGCTGCGTGGACGTCCATCACCACTGGATCTTATTTCACCGTAACTGCGCATTTTATCGCAGATGAGTAGCAGCAGCTCCTCGTGCTCCAAACAAGAGCAGTGAATGAGAGTCTTCTAGTTCACTTACCACATCACCTCCATTTGACTTATTAATAAAGATATTGGAAGTAAATTCATTATGGATCATTACAAATACTTTGCTTTAAAATACCAAGTCACTTTAAATAACAACACCGAGTCACTTAGTCACTTTAAAATGTATATTGTCTCTACATTCTGTGTATATTTTGTGTATATTTAATATATTTCAGTTAGTTTTTCTTGTATTTTTATTTTTACTTATTTACTTTCTGTAAAAAAAGTAGAGTGATTATCTGAGCCTCGTCACAAGCATTTCAATGCATAAATGTCCTGACGTGCAAATGACAAATAAACTTGAAACTTGAACTCGAAACTTGAGCTCACAGTGAGAAAATAGAAATGCTATATAGAAAAAAGATGCATCGAGATGCATCGATAATCGCATCGCAGCCCTCTGAATCGTAATCAAATCGAATCTTGACTTGCCTAGAGATTCCCACCCCTACTACTAAATGAGTACTGTGATAGTATTTAATGAGTACTGTGATAGTATTAAATGAGTATTGTGATAGTGTTAAATGAGTATTGCGATAGTATTGTATGGGTATTGTGATAGTATTGAACGAATATTGTGATAGTATTGAATGAGTGTTAGGGTAGTGTTAAATGAGTATTGTGACAGTACTGTATGAGTATTGTGATAGTATTGAATGAGTATTGTGTTCATATTGTATGGGTATTGTGATAGTATTGAAAGATTATTGTAATAGTATTGAAAGAGTATTGTGATAGTACTGAATGAGTGTTAGGGTAGTGTTGAATGAGTATTGTGATAGTATTGAAAGATTATTGTGATAGTATTGAAAGATTATTGTGATAGTATTGAAAGAGTATTGTGATAGTACTGAATGAGTGTTAGGGTAGTGTTGAATGAGTATTGTGATAGTATTCGAAGAGTATTGTGATAGTATAGAATGAGTATTGTAACAGTATTGAAAGTATTGAATGAGTATTGTGGTTGAAGTATTGTGTTAATACTACAGACTGCAGAATGATGCATTACTTCAGAGGTCTGTATTACCAGAGCTGCTGTTATAAAGACTGTAAATATTAAAATATGTATTTTTATGATCTGTCTGTCCGTCTGTAGGTGATGGAGGATTTGAATAAGTGGAAGTTCAATATCTTCCAAGTAGCCGAGCTCTCAAATAACAGGCCGCTCAGCTGCATCATGTACTCCATATTCCAGGTGGGTGTTAATGTTTAAAGACTTTAGATGGATTATTCAGATTATTTAGACAGATACTTGTGTTAGATGCTGTGGGCTCAGAATTATAAGGTTCTATAAGGTTCTGTCTGCATTCAGTTCAGTTTTTGAGATGTTGAGGATTCAAAGTCCAACCATAAATATTGATAGTAAAGGAGGAAAAATGTAAGGTGGCTGTTTCAGTGTGATATAATGCAGTTCACTGTTCTATATTAATTTTCAGATATTTGTACAGATTTCATTAGGCAAGTTGCTGTGTGTCTGTGTGTGTGTGTCTGTGTGTGTGTGTGTGTGTGTGTGTGCGTGTGTCTGTGTGTGTGTGTCTGTGTGTGTGTGTGTGTCTGTGTGTGTCTGTGTGTGTCTGTGTGTGTGTGTGTCTGTGTGTGTCTGTGTGTGTGTGTGTGTGTGTGTGTGTGTCTGTGTGTGTGTGTGTGTGTGTGTGTGTGTGTGTGTGTGTCTGTGTGTGTGTGTCTGTGTGTGTGTGTGTGTGTGTGTGTGTGTGTGTCTGTGTGTGTGTGTGTGTGTGTGTGTGTGTGTGTGTGTGTCTGTGTGTGTGTGTGTGTGTGTTTGTCTGTGTGTGTGTGTGTGTGTGTGTGTGTGTGTGTGTGCGTGTGTCTGTGTGTGTGTGTCTGTGTGTGTGTGTGTGTGTGTGTGTGTGTGTGTGTCTGTGTGTGTGTGTGTGTGTGTGTGTGTGTGTGTGTGTCTGTGTGTGTGTGTGTGTGTGTTTGTCTGTGTGTGTGTGTGTGTGTCTGTGTGTGTGTGTGTGTATAGGAGAGAGATTTGTTGAAGACGTTCAGAATTCCGGTCGATACGTTTGTCTCCTACGTGATGACCCTGGAGGATCATTACCATAGCAACGTAGCATATCACAACAGCCTCCACGCTGCTGACGTCACTCAGAGCATCCACTGCCTGCTGTCCACTCCGGCTCTGGACGTGAGTCCACTGTCCACTACAGCTCAGTGATAAAATTCAACATCACAACTCAGTTACATTGTAAACAGGTTCAGATCATATTTAACTTAATCACAGTGTAAACAGGTTTAGATCATATTTAACTTAATCACAGTGTAAACGGGTTTAGATCATATTTAACTTAATCACAGTATAAACAGGTTTCAGATCATATTTAACTTAATCACAGTGTAAATGAGTTTAGATCATATTTAACTTAATCACAGTGTAAATGAGTTTAGATCATATTTAGCTTAATCACAGTGTAAACAGGTTTAGATCATATTTAACTTAATCACAGTGTAAATGAGTTTAGATTATGAATATAATCCAGATTTGTGTTGTGATGACTCGGTTGTTTATATTTAATGCAGAGTGAGTTAATAAGCACAGACAGAACTAACTGAGCCGTCTCAGTCAGTATTAATGATTCTATTATTACTATTATCCACTTTTTCTGATTAGACTGTTCTCTTTAGCACTGATCAGATCTCAGACCACCCTCTGTCTCTCTCTCTGTGTCTCTTTCTCTGTCTCTCTCTCTTTATATATATCTTTCAGGCTGTCTTCACTGATCTGGAGATTTTAGCTGCTCTCTTTGCTGCCGCCATTCATGATGTAGATCATCCTGGAGTCTCCAACCAGTTCCTCATCAACACCAGTGAGGAACCTACTTCTGATCAATATGTGCAGTTAGAGCTGGAAACATAAACTTTTCTCTCTCTGTGTGTCTCTCGCTCTCTTTCTCTCTGTATCTCTCTCTCTCTCTGTCTATCTCTCTCTCTCTTTCACTCTCTGTGTATATCTCTCTCTCTCTCTTTCTGCGCTCTCTTTCTCTCTGTATCTCTCTCTCTCTCTCTCTCTGTCTATCTCTCGCTCTTTCTCTCTCTGTATCTCTCTCTCTCTCTGTCTATCTCTCTCTCGCTCTTTCTCTCTCTGTGTCTATCTCTCTCTCTCTCTCTCTCTTTCTGGGCTCTCTTTCTCTCTGTATCTCTCTCTCTCTCTGTATCTCTCTCTCAGACTTTGAATTGGCTCTGATGTATAATGATGAGCGTATTTCTCTCTCTCTCTGCTCTCTCTTTGTCTCTCTCCCTCTCCCTCTCCCTCTGTGTCTCTCTCTCAGACTCCGAATTGGCTCTGATGTATAATGATGAGTCTGTATTTCTCTCTCTCTTTCTCTCTCTGTCTCTCTCTGCTCTCTCTCTATGTCTCTCTCTCAGACTCTGAGTTGGCTCTGATGTATAATGATGAGTCTGTATCTCTCTCTCTCTTTCTCTCTCTGTCTCTCTCTGCACTCTCTCTGTGTCTCTCTCTCAGACTCCGAATTGGCTCTGATGTATAATGATGAGTCTGTATTTCTCTCTCTCTCTTTCTCTCTCTCTCTCTGCTCTCTCTCTATGTCTCTCTCTCAGACTCTGAGTTGGCTCTGATGTATAATGATGAGTCTGTGTTGGAGAATCATCACCTGGCTGTGGGCTTTAAGCTTCTTCACCAGGAGAACTGTGACATCTTCCAGAACCTCAGCAAGAGGCAGAGGCAGAGTCTGCGCAAGCTCGTCATAGACATGGTACACAGCACACGCTCACTGGGTTCTCCACTGATAACGTTATAGATAACGTTCTGGACCGTTCATAATGAAAACTGGAGTTCTCAAATCGGCTCCTTGTGGAATCCCCAGCGGTGTTCCTCAGGGCTCAGTGCTCAGGCCCTAATCACTCCATCCAAAGACCCCTGAGTTTCTTTTAGTACTGATGACCCTTTTTAGGGTGTTTGAGCTATTTATCGTTTTGTTCCTCAATCAATTATTAGCAACAATGGTTTGAACTTAAAGCAGTTGCTACTTTGGTACAGTAGGTGGTGCTGTGTGTCGTTTATGCTGTAGACAAGAAGTTAGTTTTGATTGTTAAGGCCTTTTTGAATGTAGAGTCAGTGAAAGTGAAAGATTTATTTTATTATATTCTTCACAATAAATCATAATAATTGTATAAACAACTGAATTATTCCTTCTTTTTTTACTGTTCGGATTTAAGATTGAAATGAAATAATAATGATAATAAAAATAAAAATAATCCTGATAATAATAGTAATACTTAAAGTACTCATTGATATTAAATGAAAGAACATTTTGAGCTAAGTAAGTCTCACCTGTGCAGGTGTTGGCCACTGACATGTCGAAGCACATGACCCTCCTGGCTGATCTGAAGACGATGGTGGAGACGAAGAAGGTGACGAGCTCTGGCGTGCTGCTGCTGGATCACTACACTGAGCGTATACAGGTGAGAGGCAGTGATTCAGATGAGAGTGATTTATGTGTGAGTCAGTGATTCAGGTGAGAGTCAGTGATTCAATTGAGAGTGATTTAAGTGAGAGTCAGTGATTCAGCTGAGAGTGATTCAGGTGAGAGTCAGTGATTCAGCTGAGAGTCTGTGTTTCAGGTGAGAGTCTGTGATTCAGGTGAGAATCAGATATTCTGGTGAGAGTCAGTGGTTCAGCTGAGAGTGATTCAGGTGAGAGTCAGTGATTCAGCTGAGAGTGATTCCGGTAAGAGTCAGTGGTTCACCTGAGAGTGAATTAGTTGAGAGCCGTTGATTCAGCTGAGAGTGATTCAGGTGAGAGTCAGTGATTCAGCTGAGAGTCTGTGTTTCAGGTGAGAGTCTGTGATTCAGGTGAGAATCAGAGATTCCGGTGAGAGTCAGTGGTTCAGCTGAGAGTGAATTAAGTGAGAGTCAGTGATACTGCAGAGTGTCAGGTGTTAAATCTACAGTACAGGTGTGTCTGGAGGAATGTTGGAATAATAAAGGTGCTGTTTGTGGCGTGCAGGTGCTGCGGACCATGATGCACTGCGCTGATCTGAGTAACCCCACCAAACCGCTGGTTCTGTACAAACAGTGGACGGAGAGAATAATGGAGGAGTTCTTCAGACAGGGCGACCGAGAGAGAGAGAGAGGGATGGAGATCAGCGCCATGTGTGATAAACACACCGCCTCCGTGGAGAAGAGTCAGGTACCACCTTTACAGCTCACACCTTCACAGCTCACACCTTCACCGCTCACACTTTCACATTTCATACTTTCACAGCTCACTCTTTCACATTTCATACCTTCATGGCTCACACCTTTAGAACTCACACCTTCACAACTCACACCTTCACCGCTCACACCTTTACAACTCACACCTTCACGGCTCACACCTTCACGGCTCACACCTTTACAACTCACACCTTCACAGCTCACACCTTCACCGCTCACACCTTCACCGCTCACACCTTTACAACTCACACCTTCACGGCTCACACCTTTACAACTCACACCTTCACAGCTCACACCTTCACCGCTCACACCTTCACCGCTCACACTTTCACATTTCATACTTTCACAGCTCACTCTTTCACATTTCATACCTTCACGGCTCACACCTTTACAACTCACACCTTCACAGCTCACACCTTCACTTTTAATTACTGTGGTGTTCCAGGTGGTGACTAGGAGGTTGCTAGGGTGTTGCTCAGCAGTTGCTATGGTGTTCCAGGTGGTTGCTACGATGTTGCTAAGCAGTTGCTATGGTGTTCCAGGTGGTTGCTAGGAGGTTGCTAGGCAGTTGCTATGGTGTTCCAGGCGGTTACTAGGAGGTTGCTAGGGTGTTGCTAAACAGTTGCTATGGTGTTCTAGGTGGTTGCTAGGATCTTGCTAGGCAGTCACAGTGGTGCTTTAGGTGGTTGCTACGGTGTTGCTAAACAGTTGTTATGGTGTTCCAAGAGTTTGGTATGGTGTTGCTAACTTAGTACTGCTAAGCTGTTTTAGGGCTCTCACTGATTTGTTCACTAATAAAAGAAAATGAGCACATGACTGTTATTCAGTTTACTCTGACTTCCTGTTAAGTTCCTGTTTAGACCACTTTACTCAGCTGTGGCAGGTGTACCACCAGGGATACCACAGCAACCATCTAGCAACACTCTAGCAACCACCTAGAACACTGTAGCAACCATCTTGAATAACAAATAAACCACTTAGCAATACTTTGGCAACTACCATAAACACCATAATAACTATCTAGCAACACCCTAACAAGCCCCTAGCAATACCCTAGCAACCACCTGGAATACCATGCAAATCACCTAGCAACTCCTAAGGAACCACCTGGGATACCATAGCAAAGCACAGTCACTGTTCATTTTCTTCGGGAAAATTTTGTAGTCATTATTATTATTTATTTGATTCTATTTCTGATGGGAATTAAAGAGGACACTGTGTTTTTGTGTTTGTAGGTGGGGTTTATAGACTACATTGTCCACCCTTTGTGGGAGACGTGGGGTGACCTGGTCCATCCGGATGCTCAGGAGATCCTGGACACTCTGCAGGAGAACCGAGACTGGTACCAGAGTGCTGTCCCTCAGAGTCCGTCACCGCCACCGGACAGAGAGAAAACTCACACTGACCGGTTCCAGTTCCCCATTACACTGCATGAGGAGGAGGACACACATACCTACAACAACCACACACACACGCTCAACCACACACACACTCTCAACCACCACAACCACACAGAACCAGAGCAAGAACTGGAACAGGAACCAGATCAGGAACTGGAACCAGAACCAGAGCAAGACCTGGAACAGGAAACAGAGCATGAGCCACAGCAGGAACTGGAACAGGAACCGGAACAGGAACCAGAGCAGGAACTGGAACAGGAACCTGAGTCAGAACCAGAACAGGAACCAGAGCAGGAACTGCAACAGGATCCAGAACAGGAAGCTGAGTCAGAACCAGAACAGGAACCAGATCAGGAACTTGAGCATGAAGTAGAACCAGAGCAGGAAACCAAGCAAGAACCTGAGAAAGAACCTGAGCAGGAACCAGAGCAGGAACCTGATCAGGAACCTGAGCAGGAACCACAGCAGGAACCAGAGTTCAACAGCATCCAAGAGGAGGAGAAAGGAGATGGAGAAGAAGTGGAGATAGAAGATGGAGAAGCAGATGGAGAAGGAGAGATGGAGGAAGGAGGCGGAGATGAGGTGGAAGGAAGAGAAGCAGATGGAGATGGTGAGGTAGATGGAGAAGAAAGAGTAGAAGAAGAAGAGGAGGAGAAAGAAGAAGAAAGGGTAGAAGAAGGGGAAGTAGAAGAGGGTGAAGGAGAAGATAGAGATGGAGAAGATGAAAAGAAAGAAGAAGAAACAGGAGAAGTAGTAGCAGAGAGAGAAGAGAATGAAGAAACAGAAGAAAGAGAGGATGGAGGAGTAGAAGGAGATGAAAGAGGGGATGGAGAGAAAGAAGAAGAGGAAGAAATTGAGTGAGGCTCAGTAGAGATGAAGCAGGAGAGACTGAAAAAGAAGAGGAAGAATAAATAATGACAAGAGAAAGTGAAGGATTTCCAGGCCGAAAGTGAAGCTGAACTTTAGTGAGCAATACTGCCCCCTACAGCACGGAAACAATACGCCCCCAACCTGCACCCACACTGAACATAGCGACCACTCAGGAGGAAAAGAGAGAGAGAGAGAGAGAGAGAGAGAGAGAGAGAGTTTCACTCGGAGGGGGTAGCAGCCTTCAGTGTTCTTCATCATCATCATCATCATCATCATCCTCTCTTTATCCATCGTACTCACTGCTGGTGCTCCAGCCAGAATGGAGAGTTCAGCTCCAGCTTTCTGAATGCAGAGTGATGGAGTTATCCACTATGCTGTTCAACCTCCAGATGTTTACATTTCAAAACACAAATATGACTATCAGTCAAACTGTGTAAAACATTATTGATTTGGAAACATGGTCCTCTTTGATTTATATATATATATATATATATATATATATATATATATATATATATGTGTGTGTGTGTGTGTATGTTTATGTATATTATATATTGCCAAAAGTATTCACTCACCCATCCACATTATTGAATTCAGGTGTTCCAATCACTTCCATGGCCTCAGGTGTATAAAACCGAGCACCTAGGCCTGCAGACTGCTTCTACAGACATTAGTGAAAGAATGGGTCGCTCTCAGGAGCTCAGTGAGTTCCAGCGTGGTACCGTGATAGGATGCCCACCTGTGCAACAAGTCCAATCGTGAAATTTCCTCACTACTAAATATTCCACAGTCAACTGTCAGTGGTGTTACAACAAAGTGGAAGCGATTGGGAACAACAGCAACTCAGCCACGAAGTGGTCGGCCAAGTAAAATGACAGAGCGGGGTCAGGGAGGTCACCAACTTTCTGCAGAGTCAATCGCTACAGATCTCCAAACCTCATGTGGCCTTCAGATTAGTTCAAGAACAGTGTAGAGAGCTTCATGGAATGGGTTACATGCAGTGGTGTAAAGCGCCGCCACTGGACTCTAGAGCAGTGGAGATGTGTTCTCTGGATGGACGAATCACGCTTCTCTGTCTGACGATATGATGGACGAGTCTGGGTTTGGCAGTTGCCAAGAGAACGTACAGTACTTGTCTGACTGTATTGTGCCAAGTGTAACGTTTGGTGGAGGGGGGATTATAGTGTGGGGTTGTTTTTCAGGAGTTGGGCTCGGCCCCTTAGTGCTTCTTAATGCTTCAGCAGACCAAGAGATTTTGGACAGTTTCATGCTCCCAACTTTGTGGGAATAGTTTGGGGACGGCCCCTTCCTGTTACAACATGACTTCCAACAAGACATGGATGAGCGAGTTTGGTGTGGAAGAACTTGACTGGCCTGCACAGAGTCCTGACCTCAACCCGATAGAACACCTTTGGGATGAATCAGAGCGGAGACTGCAAGCCAGGCCTTCTCGTCCAACATCGGTGTCTGACCTCACAAATGCTCTTCTGGAAAAATTGTCAAAAATTCCCATAAACACTCCTAAACCTTGTGGAAAGCCTTCCCAGAAGAGTTGAGGCTGTTATAGCTGCAAAGGGTCGGCCGGCATCATATTAAACCCTATGGATTAAGAATGGGATGTCACTCAAGTTCATAGGCGTGTCAAGGCAGACGAGCGAATACTTTTGGCAATAGAGTGTGTGTGTATATATATATATATGTATCACCGTTGTCAGAACAAGAAAAAAACATACTTTACTTTTAAGGTAAGTCAATGGGACCAGACTTTTTCCCAAAGTCATTTTGGTCCATTCTTCATGAAATTTACACACAATGTAAAGGGCAACAGACATTTTCAAATCATGTGAAAAACTGAAAAATGACAAAAATGGAGATATGAAGTTTTGTTATGACAGCAGTGATATATATATATGTATATATACAGAAATGGTATATATACACATCCTTGTATCACCATATAGTTTCACTCTGTAGTTCTACAAATACAGACTGTAGTCCATCTGTTTCTCTGCATACTTTGTTAGCCCCCTTTTACCTTGTTCTACAGTGGTCAGGACCCCCATGGACCCTCACAGAGCAGGTACTATTTGGGTGGTGGATCATTCTCAGCACTGCAGTAACACTGACGTGGTGGTGGTGTGTTAGTGTGTGTTGCGCTGGTCTGAGTGGATCAGACACAGCAGTGCTGCTGGAGTTCTTAAACACTGTGTCCACTCACTGTCCACTCTATTAGACACTCCTATCTGACCATTCAAGAACAGAGTAACAAAGTATGCAGAGAAACAGATGGACTACAGTCTGTAACTGTAGAACTACAGAGTGAAACAACTGGTCAGTGGAGCTAAAAAGTGGACAGTCAGTGTATGTGTGTATATATGTATGTATATTAATGTGAACAGAGTCTATTTATGGAAATATGTGTCTCAGAAATGTGCAATAATGAGGCAGCTTCCTCCTGAGTGGAACAGAGTGAGAGAGAGAGAGAGAGAGAGAGACCTGTAGAGAGACTGGACTGCACTCATCTGTAAATCTTTCACTGCCAGCTCCTCCAGTGGAACCCAACCTCCACAGCTCCTGTAGCACTCCGGACTTTTAATAGAGACACACCGTCTCCAGCATGCAGGACCTCAGAGGGACCCCAGTGAGACCCCAGCAGGGCCTCAGTGAGAACCCAGCTGTCCCTCACTGGAGCCTCAATGGGAACCCAGTGTGACTTCAGTGAGACCTCAGTGGGACCTCAGAGAGACCCTTGAGAGAACCCAGTGGGACCTCAGTGAGAACCCAGCTGTCCCTCACTGGGACCTCAGAGAGACCCCAGTGGGGCCGCAGTGGGATCTCAGTGGTACCTCAGAGAGACACAGTGGGACCTCAGTGAGAACCCAGCTGTCCCTCATTGGGACCTCAATGGGAACCCTGTGGGACCTCACTGAGAACCCAGTGAGACCCCAGAGGGACCTCAGTGGGATCTTAGAGAGACCCCAGTGGGGCTGCAGTGGGATCTCAGTAGGACCTCAGAGAGACCCAGTGGAACCTCAGTGGGATCTCAGAGACCCTCATGAGACCCCAGCGGGACCTCAGCAGGACCTCATAGAGACCCTCGAGAGACCCTAGTGGGACCTTAGCGGGATCTCAGGGGGAACACAGTGGGACCTCAGAGGGACTCTAGAGAGACCCCAGCGGAACCTCAGTGAGACCCCAGCAGGAGGAACCCTGGGTAACCAATACTGTGCTGAGAGACTTTTAATTTTCCCTCCATTTTTGTCGGAAGGGAAAACGTTTGAACTGAAAGGTGGAGAAACGGATCTTTCCTACAAGGCCTTTCACCTGGAGTGCATGGACACTGCATGAATCTGTAGCAATGCATTGTGGGCTGGGGAGGTCAGGCAGCTGTGATTGGCTCTGCTGAGGCTCCTCCCCTTTCCTGTGTACAGTAGTGATGTATTTTAACACTGTAAAGAGGTCACAGTAAATGAGACGGATTCTCATCACCATCAAACTCCTCTGATCTTCAGCCTCAGTTCTTTCCTGAACAACCTTTATTCATACTATTGGGGGGTGGTATTATTAGAATTGACTCCTAATTTAATACAGCTCGGAAGTTGTGTCGTCGTCATTCTGTTGTCACGTTATGCCCATTGTAGGAGCTCCGTCTCTGAGATGTTTATCTCAATGAGAAAAATGAATAACGTTTTAGAAATTCGCTGCTTTCTCGTCCTGTGACAGTAAATATGTTCTGTCCTGTGTGTGTTTTACTCTGAATATCACCAGAAACTATGAGGTCACCAGTGTGAAGTGTTTACAGTATCAACAGAAACACTGCATATTTGTAAACAAACAGGTCTTTATTGCTCGGTGAGCGTCTGGAGAACCAGGACTTTAAATATAGGAGGAGTCACAGCTTCAGCAGGTACAACTCAAACAACATAACTCAGACAGTCACATTCAGCAAACGCATATTAACATTCAAACCCAGTTGCTTCAGAGTTAGATATAAACACACAGCGGTGCAGGGCGGTTAGCTTCCTGAAAAGTGAGACGTAGATTCCAAGAGTTCTTTGACTCTCGATTCCAAAAATTACTTTCATAATGTGCCTTTATAATTTACACTAACAGTGACGTATTAATGCGCTCTGTCTGTTCTTCAGGAAAGCGAGATCTCAGTTTAACCTCTGTCAGATCTCAGTGAGGCAGTCTGGGACGCTAACTTGAGCTAATTAGCTAACTTAGTTTCTTGATTCTGCTGTTAGGTGAGACAGTTCAGTTGATTGTATGCCACAGTTGTCCTGACTGCATGTCTTTGGACACAAATTTGGATTAAGAGGAAAGCGGTCAGTGCAGTGATGTGAAAGAACATTTTTTTATTTGAATAAACTTTGCATTTTCCTATTTGTAAAGCATTTGAAATGACCAGGCTACATCTTATAAAAAAGTGCTTTATAAATAAAACTCGGCATAATCAGATTCACAAACCGGACTCAGAGAATCGACTCTTTGAAATCGACTCCCAGCTCGACCGATGAAGATCTGGAGAGCGAGTCACAGAGCAGGATTTCTCACCTCGTCTGATAAAGTCAAAACCCCCCATAATTTAGTGTGTGAGATGTAAACCGAGTGATTCAGAGTGGTTTGGTGTGAAATGGTTCAGATGTCTTTACAGTGGTGGTGATAGGAACCAGGGGTCGCCATGACTACAACACAAATATAGACATTTTATTCACTATCCAGAACCACCAGTGAACCTACACGAGTCTTCTGAGTTTATATGAATGTTGATGATGGAAAATAGTGGAAAATCTGAAATAATAAGTTTTCTTTGGGGACTATTTTGCCTCACAGCGCCCTGCATGTATCCCTCCACCATGAATGGAGTTTAAGTTCTCTAAACTATCATAAAACAGTGTCTCAGTCATCAGGCAGTGAATTCATAACCATTTCATGTAGGAACTTTCTGTGAGGAGCTTTTAGAGGTGGACGTCTGGTTCCTATCACCACCACTGTGAACAGTTCTGATTTTGTAAGTTTCTCTAGAACGGAGCGTTTCACACCAAACCACTCTGAACCGCTCTGTTTACATCTTAACTGGTCAATTAATGAATAATTAATTCTCTCTTTGGGTTTAAGTTGTCCAGCTTTACTGATGAGTCTTCACGAAACACCCTCAGATGAGTAAATTAGAGCTCAGTCCCAAACAGCACTCGCGCCCTCACTGCGGCCTCCAGCGTCAACTACAGGACCGGGGCTTGTTCGACTGACCAGCGTGATGGAGAAGAAGATACTCAGATGAATGTATTAACCTTTTTAGCTGCGTTATGCTTGTAAACTAAATTCAGATTCTGCAGATGAATTGTCTTTAAAAACAGGACGACTGATACACCGACATGCAGAACATCTTGCCCTGTAGATCTGCGCGTTGTTGATGTCACTAAAGTGTGGAGTTTAACGAGGACTGCAGAGTTTAGGCTGTATTTACGCTGCTCTGACACAGCAACTAGAGATGCATGATGGTATTGGAATCATATCGATATCCATAAATCCAGCTAACAAAAAACTCCTGCAGGTACTCAGTTGTCAAAAACAGCCTAAAAGCTACAAATATTACAGGAAACCTGATGGAGTTCATGACTCTAGATGATCAGCTGTTCTCTTATGAGGAGGATGTTGGGTTTCGACTGCTGCTCGAACACGTTACACCAAACCCAGTTGTCGTTATTTTTCTGCTACTCATATTCACACTCACTGACGATAATGAGGCCTACATTAGCGTGACCGCAGACATCTGGGCATCTGATGTGAGTCCTGGGAGTTTTCCTCAGCTGGTGAGAAATTGTGCTTTCTTGTCAAAATGTACTACCGTAGCGCTTTATAGGTAAAGCGATTTATAGGTAGCTCTCTAAATAAAACCTTCAAGTAGGATATTCTGGTATCTTAAATCACCTTTAAAAAATACTATCAGCATTAAAACTGCAAAGCTGGTCAGATTCTAATTCACTGGCTTCTTGTTCGAATTTTCCTGTTCCACCTTAAATGATGCAGCAGTTAAATGGTGCCTCATGTAACTTTTGCACCATTTAAAGTGGAACAGGAAAATTCGAACAGGAAGCTAAGTTCAGCTCCGATACGCAGGACCCATCATGCTGCCGGATCAGCGTAAAAGCAGCATCAGGGAGAGATTCAGGACTGAGCTCTAGGGGGCAGCACACCCTAGTTTATTTGGCACTTTAACACATTTCAGCAGTTTAAACTGTCCAGCTCAGAGTTTATAAATCACACATAAATACAATATAAAACGTATAAAACTCAGCAGGTCTGACGCATCATTCAGGAAAGAACACTGATTAAGGCACGAGTGAAAGGGCGTTCATTGTGCAGCTCAAAGGTCGAAGATCAAATGTCAAAGGTCAGTCCAGCTGTCCCACTCCGGGAACTGGTCGATTTCCCCATCCTGCTGGAGTGTCTCCCCTCCGAGTGTCAGAGTCAGTTTGAAACGCACTCGCACTGGCTTCTGCAGACAGACAGACACAGACTCCGATCAGAAACCCAATAATCAATAATCAATAATCTGATACAGCAGCAGACTGGACGTCCAGACAGACACGTCAATCAGAAACAGACTGTGTGTCTGAAACCATACGGCGTGACCTTTAGTCTCACCCTGAGGGGGTTGGAGAGCAGCAGTATCTGGGAGATGGCAGCAGGGGGCAGCAGAGGGCTGTATGGAGGCAAAGCACTTCCTGTGGCCGGCTGCAGCTTCACCTGCATCGTCTGGAAAGCAGGAGTATGAAGCGCACGGACACGAAGAAAGAGAGAGAGATGAGGGCTGAAAATGACTGAGAAAGATGGAGTGATGGATGCAGAATGATGGAGAAAAAACATGGTTTACACTGGAGTTACACAGAGATCAAAATGACAAAGAATAAACTCATTTACATAGAAAAAATGTGAATAATGATTAATATAAGAAAATAAAAAAATTATGTACATTAAAATGTAACAAAAATTAAAAGCTTTTATTTAAATACAAAAAATGTGGATATTGATTAAAATAAGGAAACAAAATATTTTCAACATACATAAAAATATAAGAAAAAAATCTTATAAAATAGGATAAAATGGGAGGAATGACTAAAATAAAGTTTTGAATTTTGAAATGTGAATAAAAAATATAATAAGAATAAAACAAAATAAGAAACGCTAATAAACCGTTTAGAGTGTCTGCTTGATATTCATAGTTAACGAGTGTGTAACGGAAAACTGCTTTTTGGAGGTAAAGACTTGGCTAATCAGAAGGTGGCGTTACCTTGGGAACAGCAGCCAGGAACAGGAAGTCAGAAACAGGAAGTGCAGAGGTGTTGACAGCGGAGATGACAAAGGCAGCAACGTCAGGCCGAGACGCAGGAGCTTCTTTGGTGAAGTGCAGAGACACACGAACCCCATGATGGTCAAAAACTGTTATCGGCTTTAAGTGACCTAAAACACGCGAGACATCTTCAACGTTAACAGAGATAACGTTAATTAGAGTGACATTAACGTTAATAAGAGTGACGTCATCATTAATAAGAGTGAGGTTATCGTTGATAAGAGTGACATTAACGTTAATAAGAGTGACATTAATAAGACTGACGTTAACATTAATAAGAGTGACGTTAACATTAATAAGAGTGACATTAACGTTAATAAGAGTGACAATAAGAGTGAGGTTAACGTTAATAAGAGTGACGTTGACGTTAATAAGAGTAACATAAGACTGACGTTAATGTTAATAAGAGTGACATTAATAAGAGTGACGTTAACGTTAATAAAAGTGACATTAACTTTAATAAGAGTGACGTTACCATTAATAAGAGTAACGTTCATAATAGTAACGTTAAAGTTAATAAGAGTGACGTTAAGGTTAATAAGAGTGAAGTTAACGTTAATCTCAAACAGTTCAGTACACTACAACCGAGTCCATTAGGGAGCTGTGCACATGTGGCTGTTTGTTAGATCTTTACATTTGGGAGCCAATACTGTAATTCCTAAGTAGTGCACTATGCAGGGAGCAGCAGCTGTTTGAGATTCAGCCCCAGTTCATTAGTCAGTACAAATTAATTTCTCCCCTAAACTTACCCCAAACATGGTCAATCACTGAGACGTGTTTGGTGTCTAAAGTTTGCTTCTGTAGTTTTAGCACTGGAGCTACGAGGCTAACGTAGCTAACAAGTAATGGAAGGTTATACCCCACCAATTAGCTTGGTGCTAACTCCATACCATCACTCATTTAATCATCACTCATTTAAACCGAGTTCAGTAATCGCTAATAGACTTGATTATGTGGTTTCTGCTGCTGTATGACTCATATAATGTAGCTACCCCTAACATCGGCCGTCCCCCAATATCGGCCACTTGCGCGCATTGCACAATTCCTCTCTCTCTCTCCGCCAATTGCTCAGGCGAAATTCAAAACACATAAGTTTGCACCTTACAAGGGCATCTAAACTTTATTCTAGCAAAAAATCATATCTGAAAACAATATTTGAGTATCACTAATGACGTAATTCTGCGTATACAAAACCGCATGCAACACACAACTCATTTCCATTCCGCGATGGATATTGGTCTGTGTAGAAAGTTAGCTTATCGGTTAGCTTTCTCTTCTCTGAGGTAAAAAAAAACTTTACCTTATTGTGAAGCACTGTAAGGCATTGAGTCTGGTAGGAATGATGCGTAAACGCGATTTCTCATTTGACTGGCACAACCAGGTGCGCAGCAAAGAGCTGAGCTCTATACTTAGATAAACAAGCAAATCAAGCTGAATAATGAAACAATACAATAACATCACATTTTACTAATGAATATATACATATATTTTATGTTTTTTACAATTTTATACGCTGAATTTTAGGCTGAAAGATGAGTTACGGAAAACCGGAAGTGAGGTGGCCGATATTGGGGGACCCCCATCATTCTAGCGATTCTAGTGTCAAAGTAGACAAAAACATGAATATTGAAAAAACTGTTCTCTCATCATGTCAAATGACTCTTGGACATTAATCTACACACGTATCTCTCCCGAAAAACATTGATTTGGGTGAGTAAAGTGCTTCCATTTATTTACAGTTAGCTTAGATTCCCGATGTTTTGTTGTGAGGTGGCTGATAACAGGGGTACCTACGCTATATATATATTAACATGGACTAAAGCACAATAGCGTAGCTAAACACAGAAGCAAAACAGGGTAATGTACATTAGTGTAGCTATCAAAACAGAGTAAGGTACATTAGCACAGCTAAAATACTAGCATGGACTACAGCACCTCAGCATAGCTTAAAACAGTAGCAGAACGGGCTAAAGTACATTAGCATAGCTAAACCCCCCACTTGACTGAAAAAGCCAAACTTTAAACACCAGACTGCTGAACTATCGCTTTAATGTCTCGGTCACTTACTGGGCTTAATGGATCCAAGAGGCACATGGATGTCCTGAAGTGAGGAGGGTGGGAGGGGCTTGGGAAATCCTGGAGTAATGATTGGCTGATTGAACTCTGATCTGGTCAGGTGCTCCTCCCTGAAAAGAGAAATATCAGCTCACTCTTCAAATAAAAACTTGCTAAAAAAGAGAAAGACTCAGTTTCCCACTCATCACTCACATGGCAGGTAATACTGGTGCATTGTGGGTACTGTAGTCTCCATTCCCACAGGTCATCTCCATACTGCCTGAAACTCTCACCATGTCCTCCAGCTGTAAATGAACACTATATTTTCATCAGTGCACTCGCAGAAACAGGACGTAAGCTCTGATTCGGATATTACGATCTGATTACCTGTATGAGCTCGTCCAGGTACGATCTCGTTTCCTCTGTTCTCGGACTGCGGGAATCTGCTTATCAGTGAAAAGACGAAATCAGAAACACGGCGCTCCAGCAAAGGACAGACGATGCCGAGTACGGTTACACAACATAAAAGCAACATTAAAGTAAAAAAACTCCACCAGTTTCCTCCCTTTCAACAAACACAGCTGATCAGCTGAGACGTGCTCAGTTCTTTAGCTTTAGTACTGGAGCTAACGAGTAATGGAAGCTTATATCCCACCGATTAGCATGGTGCTATCTGTATGCCTGAATCATCACACTGTTGCCTCAAACATGTTAGTAAAGTTGGCTTCGTATTCAAGCTTAAAATTTAAGGTGGAACAAAAAATGTGAATAAGAAGCTGGAAAACTGGAAGCCAAATTTGCCAACACGTTTGAAGCAGGTATGTGATGATTTAGGCAGTACAGTTAGCATCATGCTAATCAGTGGGCTATAAGCTTCCATTACTTGTTAGCTACATTAACCTCGTAGCTCCTGTGCAAAAATTAAATAAGTGAACTTCAGACACCGAACACGTCTCGACAGATTGAAAGATTAATTAGATTTTAACTCCCTGAAAGAACAGATTAAAAGTATTTTAGAGTGTGAAATTATTATCGCACCGTAGGCAGGAACGCTGTCCTCATCCAGCAGGATCAGAGAGCCGCCGTCCTCAGTGTGGCCACAGGGGGCGCTGTCCCCCGCCACAGAGAAGTTAATGAGGTGGTACGTCCTGATAGGACTGACAGGCTCTGTAGAAACAGCGTACAGCCGTTTAGCTCCACCCATTCAATCTACAGCAGTTTAGCCCCACCCATTCAGTCTACAGCAGTTTAGCCCCGCCCATTCATCCTACAGCAGTTTAGCCCCGACCCTCTCAGCTTACAGCTGGATTTCCTCTGTAGGGGGCTTTCTGGCTGTGCGTGTAAACAGCAGAATAACGAACCCTGGTTGTTTACGTTGTCGTTGTTGTGGATAGGCTCCGCCCCCATCTCTCCTTCTTCTTTCTGTGTTTTCTCTCTGTACAGGTTCATCACATGACTCAGCTCATCGTTCCACTTCAGAATTCCAGCTGCAGAACATCAGCACATATAAATCACAGTCAGAAACGGAACGCTAACAGCTAAAACTCATACAGTTCATACGGTAAAGTTTATAAGCTAACGTGTCTGAACCTAAAGCCTCGTCGTCCTCCAGGGTGTCGCTGGCCAATCTGAACAGGTTCGGCCTCAGACGATCACAGCGCTCGTACAGATCCTGCCAACAACAATCACACTTCATTACAACGATCGCACTTCATTACAACGATCACACTTCATTACAACGATCACATTCCACTGTAACAGTCACACTTCAGAATTATAATCACATTCAATTACAACATTCACATTTAAGAATATTAACTTCCATTCAGTAATAACTTCTGAAGACACGCTTTGGAAGGCAAAATCCGGGGGGCCTGGTAAAACCGGTGAGAGCGCCCCCTGCTGGATGTCTGCAGAGAAAAGCAGTCAACTTCCTACAGCAGAGGTTCCAACCTTTTCTTACTCGTGGCTCACGAAGTTTAACCCACCAGATCATTTAAAGCGCATATATTACAGTTATTAATGTAGCCTGTCTGTTTTGTTTAGCAGTCACCAAGTTCTGGATGACGTGCTAAAGAAACGAACGCAGCTCTGGCTCACTTCTGGTTAGATGTGTATCTGTTAAGCCTCCAACTAACAGCGTAATTTGTTTGGCTTCAAAGCTTTATTTTAAAACAGACCTCCGAGCGCTTAGAGCAGCAGATACTCGATTCCTGCTCTCACACGTGAAGCCTGAAGGCCTTTATTAGTATTTTCAGACGAGAGTTTGATCACCTGTATTACTGATAACATCCTGTATGCCTCATGTGATTTTTCGAACTGCGAAAATGTGACGTTATTGTATCTTATTATTATATTCATGCCCTGTTTGATATGTTTGTATGTGTTAAGTTTCTCTGGTAACAGGATTCGTTTATTCTCTGCTTCATCACAGACGATGTTATCACCTCGAAAATCAGCTCAAACTGTGTTACAAACATCGAGCTGAATCCAAAATCTCTCATGAAGATCCAGCATTTCTTCGGTTTGTTGTGGTGTGATCAGACTCTGGGTTTTTTCTGGGTTTTCTTGGTTCAGTCTGAGATTCGAAGGCTGTTACACCTGTAGGTGGTCCATCCTCGGGGTCTTTGTCTTTGAAAAACCCTGTTTGTAACCTTCAATCAAAGGATAATTCCATACAACCAAAAAGAGAAACACTTTACATTGACTTACGCTGAAAATGTAACCGTAGCATTTCAACAGACAATAAGTGAGGTCAATCTACGTATGCGATACTAATTTTAAAATATATATAAACATTAACATTCACAAGGCCTTATAATCAAACACAGATCTGTTCTGTTCTGTCTTTCTTACAGTCCTGACAGTCCAGAAAGAGAGTGTTGAGAGTTCACATCATTCAGTTCACTGTGATGCAGTACCATTAGATCACCACTAGATGTCCCTCACTGCGCAGCATCCACCGGCAACTACATACACACTAGTACAACTTTACAATCCATTTTCAACAGGAAATTCACTGAAATGTGTGAGATTTAAAGGTTTAGTGTGAGACCTAAGTGGTGTATTTTCAACATGGAACAATTTCTAAGGATTAAGTTAAATAAATAATAATGAACTAGATGCTCTAAAACCTTAGAAACCCTCCCACCTTCATCTCCGCAGTGTGGTGTGTGTGTTGGTTCAGTAACAGTCGTAGATCTGATGTGCATTTCTCCACTTCCTGTAAAGTGCTGATACGCCTGCCCTCTCTCTCCATCTTCTCCTGCTCCTGTCAGACACAAACAGTAATATGAAATATATAAACCCAGAGGACACAAGCAGGTTCTCTAGTGGTTCTGGATAAGAAGTAAAATGGCTAAACAGTCTTGTCTGGAATTGTGAGGCTGATTATTTTGTTTCCTCTCTACACTGAAGACATCTGGGTTGGAGATCAGAAGATAAACACAGATGATGGATCAGAGTTTCAGCTTTTATTTCCTCATATTTACATCTAGATGTGTTAAACTTACAACATGGCACCTTCTGTGAACCCACACTTTCTCAACTGAGCAAAACTACTGGAGCATTTAGATTGATTATTTGAACAGTTAATAGCTCTGAATGTCTTGGCTCTTGGTTTGAGCCCAAGGGTCTCCTGTAAGGACTGCATTTGCTGTTAAGAAGGATAGACCAGCATGAAGACCATAAAATGGTCTACAAGAGAAAAATAATTCCAGCTTCAAAAAAACATTTTGAAGCTGAGAACAGGGAAAACTGTGTCCTGAAGAAAAAACACTCTGGTGTAGTAACAACCACCCATCAAACTTGCCCAAGGAAAACAACAGCAGTTGATGACAGGGACATCGTGACAGCTGTAAAGAAAAACTCAGAAAAAATAATTATAGACAATAGAACAGTATTTGGGTTTTATTTCCTCATATTTACACTTAAATGTGTTAAACAACTTACAACATGGTACCTCTTGTTTGAACCCACTTTTTTGTTTCAAGCAGACTGATTATTCAAACAGTTAATAGCTCTGAATGTTTTTGGTTTGAGCCCTGGGGTCTCCTGTGAAGACCACATTGGTTGTTAAGGATAAACCAACATGGAGACTAGAGAGCTGTCTAAAAAAGAGAAACAAGACATTCTGAAGCTGAGAAAAGAAGGAAAATCGATCACTGAGCATTGGGGGTGGCCAATACAACAATTCGAAGGGTCCTGAAAAAGGTGGTGGTGTACTAAAAACCAGACATCGAACAGATTGGCCAAAAAAAACAACAACAGTTGATGACAAACACTGAGAGAGCAGCGAAAAAAAAACAAAACAGTCAGCAAAATCACTCCATGCTCCACGGGGCAGGGGTGAAGAAGAAAAAGACCAGAGAGCAGAAATAGACACCACACCGCATGAAAGTTCTGGAACAGTTTTATGGACTGATGAGACCAGAATGAACCTCCACTAGAGTGATGGAGAAAGAAAGGATCTGCTCATGATCCAGAACATACAAGCTTGCTGGTCAAGCATGGTGGAGGTAGTGTCAGTGTCACAGCCTGAGCTTGCACGGCTGCTCTGGAAGGAACTCACTACTAATCTTTACTGACGGTGTAACTCATGATGGTGCAGCAGAATGAATGCAGAAGTTTACCGAAACATTCTGTTGGCCAATTTACAGAGAAATGCAGCCGATATATTCAGGAGGAACTTGCAGCAGGACAACGACCCAAATCTCACTGTCAACACAACAGAGGACATTATCAGGGGAAAACAAGAAGGTGTTGGACTGGACAACTCAGTCTCCAGACCTTCACCCAGCTGAGCAGCACTTCACCTCCTGATGAGAGGACTGAAGACAGAAACCCCAGAAAAACATACAATACTTGAAAGAAGCTGCAGTAAAAGTCTGGAAAAGCATCACAAAGGAAGAATGCAACAGTCTGGTGATGTTAGTGGGTCACCTGCACGATGAGCACTGCTGGCAAGAGATCTGCAACCAAATATTGAGTGTTATTTACTTTAATACTATCTCTTCCTGCAGTTTTGCTGACCTAAAAAAGGTGTGTTCTGCCACCAAAGGTGCCGTGTTCAGAGTTATTTAACACATCTAGACGTAAATATCATGAAATAATAACCCCTGGTTCCCATCACCACCACGCCAAACCACTCTGAATAACTGTTTACATCTAAATTACATCTGAACACTGAATTATACAGAAACTGTGAGAACTGAGTCAATTTTCCCTCTTCAGTGATATTTAGAGTGTGTGTTTTATTTAGAGTGAGCAATGAGGTTTTATTAGTGACTAAGCAATGAAATAACCTTGCAACACACTACCAACCACAACAGATACCATAGCGACCAGTTAGCAACACCCTACCAACCACAACAGATACCGTAGCAACCGGTTAGCAACACCCTACCAACCACCTGGAATAATGTGTGAACCACCTACCTACACCCTAGCAATCACCTACGATACCCCAGCAACTGGCTAGCAACACCTTAGCAACCATCTAGGATAACAGCACCTGCATAGGCACACTGTGGCAACCAGTTGAAACACTACAGCAGCCACATAGGAAGACCACTGCAACCACCTTGGACGGCTTAGCACCCACTTAGCAACGTCCTAACAACCACCTAAAATACCATAGCAACTCCCTAGAAACCACCTGAAATTCCATAGCAATCAGTATTCATCACCTTAGCAACCACCAGCAATACCATAGCAACTGGTTAGCAACTCCCAAGCAACAACCTGAAACACTGTTGAAATGGGTAACCCTCACAACCACGAGGAATAACTTAGAAACCACTGCAACACTCTTAAAATCAGAGATACAATAGCAACCAGTTAGCAACAATCTAGCAACCATCTAAAATACCACAGCAACAACCTAGCAACTACCTAAAATACTACAGCAACAACCTGGCAACCACCTAAAATACCATGGCAACAGCCTAGCAACCACCTAAAAAACCACGCCAACAACCTAGCAACCACCTAAAATACCACAGCAACAACCTAGCAACTACCTAAAATACTACAGCAACAACCTGGCAACCACCTAAAATACCATGGCAACAACCTAGCAACCACCTAAAATACCATGGCAACAACCTAGCAACCACCTAAAATACCATGACAACAACCTATTAACCACCTAAAATACCATAGCAACAACCTGGCAACCACCTAAAATACCATAGCAACAACCTATTAACCACCTGAAATACCATAGCAACAGCCTAGCAAACACCTAAAATACCACACCAACAGCCTAGCAACCACCTAAAAAAATACCTTGGCAACAACCTATCAACCACCTAAAATACCATGGCAACAACCTAGCAACCACCTAAAATACCATGGCAACATCCTGGCAACCACCTAAAATACCGTAGCAACAACCTATCAACCACCTAAACTACCACAGCAACAACCTAGCAACCACCTAAAATACCATAGCAACAACCTATCAACCACCTAAAATACCATGACAACAACCTATCAACCACCTAAAATAGCACAGCAACAGCCTAGCAACCACCTAAAATACCATACCAACAACATAGGAACCACCTAAAAAACCACGGCAACAACCTAGCAACCACCTAAAAAATACCTTGGCAACAACCTAGCAACCACCTAAAATAGCACAGCAACAGCCTAGCAACCACCTAAAATACCATAGCAACAACATAGGAACCACCTAAAAAACCACGGCAACAACCTAGCAACCACCTAAAAAATACCTTGGCAACAACCTATCAACCACCCTAAATACCATGACAACAACCTATTAACCACCTAAAATACCATAGCAACAACCTATCAACCACCTAAAATACCACACCAACAGTCTAGCAACCACCTAAAAAAATACCTTGGCAACAACCTAGCAAACACCTAAAATACCATGGCAACAACCTATCAACCACCTAAAATACCATGGCAACAGCCTAGCAACCACCTAAAATACCATAGCAACAACCTATCAACCACCTAAAATACCACAGCAACAACCTATCAATCACCTAAAATACCTAAAAAATACCTTGGAAACAACCTATCAACCACCTAAAATACCATAGCAACAACCTATCAACCACCTAAAATACCATGACAACAACCTATCAACCACCTAAAACACCATAGCAACAACCTATCAACCACCTAAAATAACATGACAACAACCTATCAACCACCTAAAACACCATAGCAACAACCTGGCAACCACCTAAAATACCATAGCAACAACGTATCAACCACCTAAAATACCACGGCAACAACCTAGCAACCACCTAAAAATGCCTTGGCAACAACCTAGCAACCACCTAAAATACCTTGGCAACAACCTATCAACCACCTAAAATACCACAGCAACAGCCTAGCAACCACCTAAAAAACCACGCCAACAGCCTAGCAACCACCTAGCAAGCCGAAATAACAGACAGACAGACAGACAGACAGTCAGACAGACAGTCAGACAGATAGACAGACATAGAGACAGACAGGCAGACCTCTCTGACGGTGCTCTTGATGAGTCTGTTAGCCGTCTCCAGGTCTTCAGGCCGTCCACTCTTCAGAAGCCTGGACAGCAGCTGGAACACAGACAGAAGGTCAGTCAGAGCTCCGTAACGTTCACAGTGCTGCTGTTCGGCTCTCAGGAATCTGCACTACCTTCGCTTTGTCTTCATCATCAAACACGGACACATCCTGTCTCGGAGACGGAGGAGGCATCAACACGCTGTCCGGCAGCTTCGGGTCGCTCTTCACCAGACCTGTAAACAAAAACAACAAACAGTCTTCACCTGTAAACAAAAACAACAAACCATCTTAACCCGTAAACAAAAACAACAAACCGTCTTCACCTGTAAACAAAAACAACAAACCGTCTTCACCTGTAAACAAAAACAACAAACCGTCTTCACCGGTAAACAAAAACAACAAACCATCTTCACGTGTAAACAAAAACAACAAACCATCTTAACCCGTAAACAAAAACAACAGTCTTCACCTGTAAACAAAAACAACAAACAGTCTTCACCTGTAAACAAAAACAACAAACCATCTTAACCCGTAAACAAAAACAACAGTCTTCACCTGTAAACAAAAACAACAAACAGTCTTCACCTGTAAACAAAAACAACAAACCGTCTTCACCTGTAAACAAAAACAACAAACCGTCTTCACCGGTAAACAAAAACAACAAACCATCTTAACCCGTAAACAAAAACAACAAACCGTCTTCACCTGTAAACAAAAACAACAAACCATCTTAACCCGTAAACAAAAACAACAGTCTTCACCTGTAAACAAAAACAACAAACCATCTTAACCCGTAAACAAAAACAAATCCGTCTTCACCCGTAAACAAAAACAAACCGCCTTCACCTGTAAACAAAAACAAAAAACCATCTTCACCCGTAAACAAAAACAACAAACCGTCTTCACCCGTAAACAAAAACAACAAACCGTCTTCACCCGTAAACAAAAACAACAAACCGTCTTCACCCGTAAACAAAAACAACAAACAGTCTTAACCTGTAAACAACAATTACTGTAGCATAACTGCAGTTTAACTGTAGTTTACCACCTTGTTTCTTCAGCATGTGATAGGCCTCCTGCACCTTCGGCTCGTCCTTCAGCCACTGAGTCCAGCTGTACAGAACCTCCGTTATCTTCTCCTTCACCTGAGCAGAACTCCAGGAACCCAGATACTACACACACACACACACACACACACACACACAGAGACAGACACACACACAGACAGACACACACACAGACACACAGACACACAGACACACACACACAGACAGACACACACAGAGACAGACACACACACAGACAGACACACACACAGACAGACACACACACAGACAAACACACACACACACACAGACACACACACACACACACACACACACACACACACACACACAGAGAGACAGACACACACACAAACCGACACACACAGAGACACAGATGTACCTCATGTTGTTCCTATTGATGGTATGAATCAGCTGCAGTGAGTGTTTGTTACCTTTGGTGAGAGAACTTTAATGAGTTCATTCAGGAAGCGGAACTTCGTAGCTTCAGCGCGGAACCGTTTCCCACAGTTATTCATACAGGCCTCCAACAGCTGAAACACATCAGCTCAACGTCACAGACAGATTTACACCCATATTATTACAGGACAATAACCATTTAAACACGTGAGATCATGAAATATTAACACTAATGTGGTTCTGCTGGTATATTTGGTGTTCTAGCACATGGGTTCTCAAGCTTTCCCACCTCAGTGATTGGATAAAATGTTTTTTATTGAATCTTTTATTAAGTGCTGACACTGAAAACCTGAGAATCAGAGCCTGAAAAATGGTCCATCTGAGCTCATCACAGAACCCTGTACAGACAGACAGACAGACGGCTGTCAGAACAAGAGATCCGCTCTAGAACCGACAGTCCGTCACGTCAGCATCATCACCCACACAGCAAGATAAAGACTTGTATCCGAGAGCGTAACGTCAGACAGCCTGAGCTGAAGTCTAACCTGATCTGTGGTGACCGTCGCCGTTAGCCTGTTAGACTGTTAGCTGTCGCTGAGCCGCTGTCTGTTCACTGGGTTACAGATTTAACTGTCGCTCCAGGCCTGCAGTTTCCTAGTCAGCGTCAGGGCTGCTGTGTGATGAGCAGCGTTAAGGCTTGAGTGTTTATCTGTCTGAACTCTCTAAACAAGGGAGGAAGACGGCAGAGGAGGAAGAAATGGATTCTCTGAGCAGCAGCGACAATGAATAAATTATTTTTCTTTTAAGACACCAACATGGGGAGTTCCACCTCATGCAGGAGCTGAAGCTGTACGATAATCGATTCTGATCCGCTGTATTTTATCTTATACCTTCGCGTTTTTAAAGTCAGCGTGTTGCTTATTGTCTAAGCTGTTGTGCTACAGACACATCTGCATCCTAACGCCTGTTTGTTAAAACTGCAACCAGAGAAACCACTTTTTCCCCCGGTACCATTACCTGATCCTTTAGTATCGGCTGATACAGAGTACCGATACGATACTAACTCTAACGTAACTCACCTATACGTCCTGACGTTTATACAATTACATGTTTGAAATATTTTATTGTGGTAAAATCTGTGCTACATCACAAATAAAACTCACTTAGCTTGGCTGGATGGCATTTACTTATATTTATTAGATGCTTAAGAAAACCTATTTGTTTGTTTGTTGCTGATGTTTGCCGTGTTAGCGTCTGTTCTAGCTGACAGGGCTCTGTGCTGGAATCTGATGTTTGCCGTGTTAGCATCTGCTCTAGCTAACAGGGCTCTGTGCTGGAATCTGATGTTTGCCGTGTTAGCGTCTGTTCTAGCTGACAGGGCTCTGTGCTGGAATCTGATGTTTGCCGTGTTAGCGTCTGTTCTAGCTGACAGGGCTCTGTGCTGGAATCTGATGTTTGCTGTGTTGGCGTCTGCTCTAGCTAACAGGGCTCTGTGCTGGAATCTGATGTTTGCCGTGTTAGCGTCTGTTCTAGCTGACAGGGCTCTGTGCTGGAATCTGATGTTTGCCGTGTTAGCGTCTGCTCTAGCTAACAGGGCTCTGTGCTGGAATCTGCTCTGCTGGCCGTGTTAGCGTCTGCTCTAGCTAACAGGGCTCTGTGCTGGAATCTGATGTTTGCTGTGTTAGTGTCTGCTCTAGCTAACAGGGCTCTGTGCTGGAATCTGATGTTTGCCGTGTTAGCGTCTGCTCTAGCTAACAGGGCTCTGTGCTGGAATCTGCTCTGCTGGCCGTGTTAGCGTCTGCTCTAGCTAACAGGGCTCTGTGCTGGAATCTGATGTTTGCTGTGTTAGTGTCTGCTCTAGCTAACAGGGCTCTGTGCTGGAATCTGCTCTGCTGGCCGTGTTAGCGTCTGCTCTAGCTAACAGGGCTCTGTGCTGGAATCTGATGTTTGCCGTGTTAGCGTCTGCTCTAGCTAACAGGGCTCTGTGCTGGAATCTGATGTTTGCCGTGTTAGTGTCTGTTCTAGCTGACAGGGCTCTGTGCTGGAAACTGATGTTTGCCGTGTTAGCGTCTGCTCTAGCTAACAGGGCTCTGTGCTGGAATCTGCTCTGCTGGCCGTGTTAGCGTCTGCTCTAGCTAACAGGGCTCTGTGCTGGAATCTGATGTTTGCCGTGTTAGCGTCTGCTCTAGCTAACAGGGCTCTGTGCTGGAATCTGCTCTGCTGGCCGTGTTAGCGTCTGCTCTAGCTAACAGGGCTCTGTGCTGGAATCTGCTCTGCTGGCCGTGTTGAAGCTCATTGCGCGAGTTTGTTGGTGAAGTTTCTCAACGTGGAGCGTCGACTGCGGAGGAAACGCTGGTTAAACTGCTAAACTCTGGTTTCCAGAATGAGGAACTACAGCAGCAGCAGGGCTCCGAATACACATCTCAACACCATCTGTGAACGTTTACATACAATTCAACAATATTTAATAAAGTATTTCACCACAATTCAGTCTGACCCTGTTATTTTAGATTGATTCAGCGTTCCGTTTAAAATCAGACATCATTCCTCAGCAAAGTCAAACGACTTTTAAAGATAAAGAAATTTACTGTGTAGTTTTACTGTCTGTTGTTCGTTTCTGTGTAATCAGTTCATTTGTTTACATTTGTGTTTTCACTGTTTTAAATTCTGAATCAGACTAAAATAACTGAGTCAAACTGAATTGTGGTGAAATGTAAGAGTTCATGATGAGCTGAATCTAAAAAATCTCAATCTAATCTTATTTCTGATCTCCTGCTCTGTACAGTGTCTCTGTGTGCGGTGTGGAATTGTGGGTAATGTAGTTTCTGTGATCTTACAGTCAGAGCCTGTAGAGCTTCTCTCTCCTGAGGAGACTGGATCTTATGAGCCAACAACCGCAGAGCGACCTGAGGACTGAACAGAGGAATAACTTGTAAAACACCATACCAAACACCAAACAAACATACAAACACCATATAAACACCAAACAAACACCATGCAAACACACAAATACCATACAAACACCATACAAACACACAAACACCACACAAACACCATACCATCACCAAATAAACACCATACCGACACCAAACATACCAACACCATACCATCACCATATAAACACCATACCAACACCAAACACCATATATTGCTTATAGTGTCTAATTAATAACAGGATCAGTGCATTTTCTGTCTATTAACAGAACACCATCTGTCTGTCTGTCTTTCTGTACCTGTATATGTCTGTCTGTCTGTCTGTCTATCTGTATCTGTATCTGTATCTGTCTGTTTTTCTGTATCTGTATCTGTATCTGTGTCTGTGTTTCTGTATCTGTCTGTCTTTCTGTACCTGTATATGTCTGTCTGTCTGTCTATCTTTCTGTATCTGTCTGTTTTTCTGTATCTGTATCGGTATATGTGTGTGTGTGTGTGTGTGTGTGTGTGTGTGTGTGTCTGTCTTTCTGATCTGTATCTGTGTCTGTCTGTCTGGTTCCTCACCCGTCCTGCTCCGAGTTCACCAGCTGATAAAACTCCTGAATGCTGTCCCATCTTTCAGAAACGTTCTCTGGATCCGTCACCTCATCTAGAACACACACACACTGTGACTAAATAAACACTGTTAGTTATGGGCTTATTATATTTCTGTGATCTTTATGCTGATACAGATGGAACCGTGGGTCATCCGTATCGGGTCTATTTGGTTCTGTATCGGTATCCAAACGTCCACAGATGAGCCTCAGATCACTGTGTGTGAATCGGAGCTTCTCGGTTCCACAGTACAGAAATCTGAGTGCTACAGTGAACAGTCGCATTATAGAGAACCGTGTTCCCCTAAAGCGCCATGCAGAATCAGTCTGGTGAGTCTGGAGTGGAGGAACAGGACTGACCTCCTGCTGTGGCGTCTCTGGTGGCTGCTTCAGTGTTTCAGGTGGTTGCTAGAGTTCTATGTTGCTATGGTAACTCTGCTTATCAATATGCAGCTCAGCGGATTCTATGTTATCCGAAATGGAAGCTAAAGGGGAAGATAACCAGTTGCTGTATTTTTCCAAGTGGTTGCTATGGTCAAGAGGCTTTTATGGAGTTGCTAAGTAGTGTCTATGTTATCCCAGGTGGTTGCTATGCTGTTGCTATGGTGGCTGTAGTATCCCCAGTGGTTGTTAGGGTGCTGCAAGTGACTGCATTATGCTACCCAATGAAATCTCATTAGTGACTCTAAATAAACAACACTCTGTAAATAACATCACTTAAAAAGGAGAATTCCACAAATTAAGATGTTAACAGAGCAGCTCAGAGCGGCTCAGAGTGGTTTGGTGTGAAACGCTCCATTCTAGATAAACTGTTCACAGTGGTGGTGATAGGAACCAGACGTCCACCTCTAAAAGCTCCCTCACAGAAAGTTCCTACATGAAACGGTTATGAATTCACTGCCTGATGACTGAGACACTGTTTTATGATAGTTTAGAGAACTTAAACTCCATTCATGGTGGAGGGATACATGCAGGGCGCTGTGAGGCAAAATAGTCCCCAAAGAAAACTTATTATTTCAGATTTTCCACTATTTTCATCATCAACATTCCATATAAACTCAGAAGACTCGTGTAGGTTCACTGGTGGTTCTGGATAGTAAATAAAATGTCTATATTTGTGTTGCAGTCATGGCGACCCCTGGTTCCTATCACCACCACTGTAAAGACATCTGAACCATTTCACACCAGTTAGACTCTACCAGCCCTTCCCTCTCTCTCTCTCTCTCTCCATCACTGTATCAGTTAGACTCCACCACTGAGAGTGAGAGCAGTGGAGTTTATATCATTTCATGCAAAATAAAATCAGTGCGGAGTCACAGCAAAACAGGAATTTAAAAACTTTATCAGAGCACATGACTGCGTGCACGCGCTTCCTGTTTACCCCGCCCCCTCCAACTGTTCACGAGCTCTTTTATTTAAATCATCACCGAGCTGTACATAAATATATTATTTTTTATTACTATTATTCTTTAAATATTTAATATGTACAACATCTGCTGTCCTCCGGATCACGTGAGCTAAACTAATAGAACATGTTTATTAATTTATCGATTATTGCGGTAAAATGCCTCGCGCCGCTATATTTACTCGTGTATTTATTTGTTAACGTGTTTACTGATTATTATTACTTTATTCTGCTGCAGATCTGCGAGGTTAGCTTCCAATTTTTCAGCTTCTTAAATCGAACTTTCCGTTCCACCTTAAATGGTGCAGCAGTTACGTTCTGGCGCCTGAGGCTGCGTCTGTCACTGCTGCGCCATTTAAGGTGGAACGGAGAATTCCGATCAGCTGCGAACTTCAGCTTCAAAATAAAAGTTCCTGCGAGCGGCTCTCCGTGAAGCGGCGGTTAAACTGTGAGATGTGTTTATTATGTGAAGCGCTGCGTAAAAAGGTCTGATAGTTTATGTCGAGTTTGGATTAAAGACGAAGTTAAACTCACTCAGTAAAGTCTCCAGACTGCAGGAGCTCCGAGCTGCCGCCATCCTTCCGCACCGCATCACCTGACCTCGGCAGGCACGTGACATCCGAGGGACACGTGACCCGCGCAGTGACGTAACAACGGGCGGATTGAACGGAGAGCGGTGCCAACAAACTCCGTCAGAAACTGACCTTACGACAGAGACTGACCTGACACACTGACCTTCTGACATAAACTGACCTTCTGACAGACTGAATTTCTGACATAAACTGACATGACAGAGACTGACCTTCTGACAGACTGACCCTTATTTTCACAGTATCGATTAAAAACAGGCGTTACTGTGTAAACAGACGGAGCGCTGCTCGTGACCCGGTGCACAATAATGTTATTTAGTCTTTTGGAAAATCACAGAGCTGAACAAGCACATCTACATACGTCTTACGCCTTTACTGGTTTATTATTATTCTCAGGAATAATTATATTCCATTAAACCAGCTATAAAAACTGTGAAAGCATGTTTTTAATTCAGGACTCTTCTGATGTTATATATTTATATATATCACATTAACAAATGTATTTGTTTGTGTTCACTGTTACGTATATATTAGAAATCTGATGGTGTTAAGTATGTTTTACTCTCAGTAAAAAAAGAAGGAAATACTGACTGATCCTCATGGAGAAATGTGATAATAATAATAGCATAAAACTATAATAGCTTAGTATTTATCAACATAATACTACAGTTACTAAAAAATTAAAACAGCTAAAGAGACAGTTCTGAAGAAAACAAATAATGAGGAGCGTGAGGATGATGATGGTCGTGATGAAGATAATCGATACTAATAGTGAAAAAATTATAGTAGCAAATAAAATTTTAATAAAACAGAAACCGTTATGAAGATGATGATGATGGTGATGAAGATAAAACCACTATGAAACAAAAACAAAGTACAAAATTATGAAATTATTGTATAAGATGATGACGGCAAATAAGATGGTAATTAAATTGAAGATTTTAACTTTGTTATAAATCATATCAAATAAAATTAAAACTTAACTAAAACCATCATGATGAAAATTATGTTATAATCATGATGATGATCTAATATGATCATCTTTATGGTGAAGATGTTAATGTTGTTGATGAAGATGATGGCCCCGCCCACAGAGAACCTTCTGGAAGCAGCAGAATTCAAACCTGAACTTTACAGAACACAAACAAAAACACAGACACCACCGACAACAACAACAACAAACACAAACATGTTGGAACAGAACCGTTCTGGTGATGTTCCGCAACTGTGGCTGTTGGGAAAATCTAGGTACATTTAAAACCAGAACACATCGACCCAACGTTCTGTATCATGGTTTTAAACGTACCTAGAACAAACTCTGCACAGCAGAACCTCTTTTAGAACCACAGTTACAGTAACTGTACAGATCAGTTCTGTCGCAGGACCGACCTTCACTATCCAGAATTATTATATTATTCCACTTTATTTTAATTATAATCCGCAATTTAAATCTCTCAGAAATGATACTGTGTTTAATGACACCTCACTGTGTTACTGCTACAGTCTACGTTCTGTGTTCTCTGAATTACCTTCACAGAACCAAACAAACCGCCGTGTTTACAAACCTTAACCAATAAAATCGAGTCCCACACCGCTTACACAAAAGACTTTTATTTTGTAATAAATACAGGTGGGGTAAATCAGTGATCCAGGATTCTCTGTAACCGACAGCAGACCTCCTTCTGACCCAATGAGAGAATCATCTCACTGACACTGGGACCCTGCTGCAGAGCAAGAGAGAGAGACATAGAGAGAGAGAGAGAGAGAGAGAGAGAGACATAGAGAGAGAGAGAGAGAGAGCATAGAGAGAGAGAGAGAGAGAGAGAGAGAGAGAGAGAGATTGTCTGAAATACAACACAACTTGTACTGAAGCTAAACTGCTGTAGCTGAATGGTGGGGCTAAACTGCTGTAGACTGAATGGTGGAGCTAAACTGCTGTAGACTGAATGGTGGAGCTAAACTGCTGTAGACTGAATGGTGGAGCTAAACTGCTGTAGCTGAATGGGTGGAGCTAAACTGCTGTAGCTGAATGGTGGAGCTAAACTGCTGTAGCTGAATGGTGGAGCTAAACTGTTGTAGCTGAATGGTGGAGCTAAACTGTTGTAGCTGAATGGTGGGGCTAAACTGCTGTAGCTGAATGGTGGAGCTAAACTGCTGTAGCTGAATGGTGGAGCTAAACTGCTGTAGCTGAATGGTGGAGCTAAACTGCTGTAGCTGAATGGTGGAGCTAAACTGTTGTAGCTGAATGGTGGAGCTAAACTGTTGTAGCTGAATGGTGGGGCTAAACTGCTGTAGCTGAATGGTGGAGCTAAACTGCTGTAGCTGAATGGTGGAGCTAAACTGTTGTAGCTGAATGGTGGAGCTAAACTGCTGTAGCTGAATGGTGGAGCTAAACTGCTGTAGCTGAATGGTGGGAGCTAAACTGCTGTAGCTGAATGGTGGAGCTAAACTGTGTAGCTGAATGGTGGAGCTAAACTGCTGTAGCTGAATGGTGGGGCTAAACTGCTGTAGCTGAATGGTGGAGCTAAACTGCTGTAGCTGAATGGTGGAGCTAAACTGTTGTAGCTGAATGGTGACGCTAAACTGTTGTAGCTGAATGGTGGGGCTAAACTGCTGTAGGCTGAGTGAGTGTGGTTATACCTGCTGTCCACTCAGGGTCACTCTCAGTATCTTCATCATTGAACTGTATTTGGTTTTCTTCAGGTTTTTGGAGATGATCTTCAGCTCAGTGTTCAGATCTTCAGCCGTGTGTTCAGTCTGCATTAACCTAAACACACAAACACAGCTCAGCTCTCCACACAGCAGCCGAACGACTGAATAATCACCATTAATCACATTCTGCTGTGTAGATAATCACGATTAATCACATTCTGCTGTGTAGATAATGACCATTAATCACATTCTGCTTTGTAGATAATGACCATTAATCACATTCTGCTGTGTAGATAATCACGATTAATCACATTCTGCTGTGTAGATAATCACGATTAATCACATTCTGCTGTGTAGATAATCACGATTAATCACATTCTGCTGTGTGGGTAATCATGATCACACATTCTGCTGTGTGAGTAATTGTGATTAATTACATTCTGCTGTGTGGTTAATCACGATAAATCATGTTCTGCTATGGGGATAATTACGATTAATCAAGTTCTGCTGTGTAGTCACAATTAATCACATTCTGCTGTGTAGGTAATCATGATTAATCATGTTCTACTGTGTGGTCAGTCATGATTAATCATCTGCTGTGGGGGATAATCACAATCACATTCTGCTGTGTGGTTAATTATGAATAATTAGTCTTCTGAGTTAAATCATAATAAATCACATTCTTCACTTCACTTAAGAGCAAAATAAATGATAATTATGCTAAAAATAATTGATATTTCTTCATATTTATTTTTGATTTTAGCTACAAAATCTGTGTTTTTTTATCTTTAAAGATCCTCTCCAGCTTTTTGTGCTGCTGTAGCTGCTTCTGCCTGAGATTCTCGACACTCAGTCGTCTTATTCGTGGTCGTCTTATTTACAGTCGTCTTATTCACGGTCGTCTTATTTACCGTTGTCTTTTTTACCGTCGTCTTATTCACGGTCTTATTTACGGTCGTCCTATTCACGGTCGTCCTATTCATGGTCGTCCTATTCACGGTCTTATTTACGGTCATCTTATTCATGGTCGTCCTATTCATGGTCGTCCTATTCACGGTCGTCCTATTCACGGTCGTCCTATTCACGGTCGTCCTATTCACGGTCGTCTTCTGCAGGTCTGTTTGGTTTTTACTGATAAACATACTGAACTGAATCTGAACTCCCAGACTGACTGGGGTCCGTATCTTTGGTTTCCTGAAGACCAGCAATGAGATTCAGGGCTCCTTGGAAAGGGCGCGTCACACTCTACTGACCTGTGGCTTTGTTCTAACATTTCTCCACTGATCTACCGAGCTTCAAAGATCAGATATTGAATGTTATTACCTCCTATAATGAAAGTCTTCTGTGGTTGGAGAGGGAGCATAACGGCCTGTAATACTGTACAGTTGGAAGTCGGTTACTCATATTTCCACCAAATTTACGGTGCTCTAAACTTCTCTGGCTCTCCAGACCGTCACTGTGGGCAAGCGTCTTGTCAAGGCCACCTATGGCGTGCCCAAGTCAGATACAAATCTGCGAGATTTCGGGGTCCGTACCTCCGGTTCCCTGAAGACCAGCAATGTGATCCAGAGCTCACTGGAAAGGGGACGTGACGCTCTGCTGACCTGTGGAGTTTTTACAGTCTCTTGTTGCAAAGTTTTCCCCTCTCCTGGGGTTTATTCATGATGTCGTCAGTGATTAGCCACCATCAACTCGACTTTCATCACATAACTGTCCACTTTGAAAAATCTAAAGTCATGCAGCCCCTAACAGACAGTGCTGAGGAAATTGGAAATCCTGGGTTTCGTCTGTGTTGCAGGTTAAATGCTGGCACTGTTATCCCACAGACTGATCACAGCTGGTGATCTTCCTCAGCCAGCAGGCTGGAGGAGACTCGAGTAACACCACCTACTTTACAGTTTATTTTTACAGTTTTTCACTCTTGGACCCTTTAAGTTCCTTTTGATGTTCTTTTTCTTTTATTTAGGTAAAGAACTCTGAATGTCATTCATGTACGAGATGTGCTGTATAAATAAACTCTCCATCCCACATGTCACTCTAAAACAGCAGGCTGTGATTGGTCGTCCTGCATGTCAGTTAAACGGCCCCTCCCTTCAAACCCGGCAGGTCTTCATCACGTTAAGAGAGGGAACTCAGACTCTGACGATATGCAGGAGTTTGACTTACTGTATAACTTTAGTTGAGATTTCTCGGAATTCTGAGCTCAGCTGCTCCAGCTGTTCTCGGGATACGGAGGGGCGGAGCCACAGGTACGTATACACAGGTGAGATCAGGTCCTTCACTGAAGAGATGTGACCCTGTTTACACATATAGGCATTAAAATCATACAACAGATAACAACAAAGTAGATTATATCACAGATATAAGAAATAATCAGAACACAGTAAACTCTATCACTCATATAACAATAACAATAATAATATAACAATACAGTAGATTAT